GCTGCTATAGTGTTAAAGAAACAAGATGTCGTACCGCTGGTTTCCGTTGTTGTAGAGGTAATAGATATTGTAATGGTCGTTGTTGTTGCAGTATTTGAGGCAGTTAATATAGTAGTGGTGGTGACAATAATTGTGGTAGCAGTAGAGGTATGAGGTATTATAGTGGTTGTTGTCGCAGTAGTAGTAGACATAGTCGAGGTAGTAGATTTTGTAGTGGTCGTTATTGTTTTCGTAGTAGTGCTAGTAGGTTTTGTAGTAGTCGATGTTGTTTTAGTACTGGAGGTAGTAGACTTCGTAGTTGTTATTGTTGCTTTAGTAGTAGTCTTAGTAGGTTTTGGGGTAGTCGTTGCTGTTTTAGTACTGGAGGTAGTAGACTTCGTAGTTGTCATTGTTGCTTTAGTAGTAGTGGTAGTAGGTTTTTTGGTGGTCGTTGTTGTTTTAGTACTAGAGGTAGTAGACTTCGTAGTTGTCATTGTTGCTTTAGTAGTAGTTGTAGTAGGTTTTGTAGTAGTCGATGTTGTTTTAGTACTGGAGGTAGTAGACTTCGTAGTTGTCATTGTTGCTTTAGTAGTAGTTGTAGTAGGTTTTGTCGTAGTCGTTGTTGTTTTAGTAGTAGAAGTAGTAGACTTCGTAGTTGTCACTGTTGTTTTAATAGTAGTGGTAGTAGGTTTTTTAGTGGTCGTTGTTGTTTTAGTACTAGAGGTAGTAGACTTTGTAGTTGTTATTGTTGTTTTAGTAGTAGTTGTAGTACGTTTTGTCGTAGTCGTTGTTGTTTTAGTAGTAAATGTAGTGGATGCAGTAGTGGTGATGATAGTAGTTGTTGTGGTGATAGGTACTGAACAGCCATAAAAAGCTCGAATTGCTTGGATGTCAAGCGAACTTAAAGTGTTACGTTGTCCTATTGTGACACCCGACTTAAGTGGCACGAGGGTATCGGAACCATTTATGCTAAAATAATCTATACCGTAGTGCATTATTGATCCATAATCATAAGGTGTTTTCAAAGTATTCGCTTCACTGGTATTATATTCTTGGAAATTGCTTTCCGTACCTATTTAATTTTAACAAATCAAAATATTTTTGTTATTTTCAAACAACCATTGTAATGAAAGAAAATTTATAAAACCTGGTATTATATTCTCCCAAACGACTCTGACGTAATTATCCCGATCTGGTCGTGATTGTTCATGATAGAAGCCTAAATTTATATAAAATTATATTTGTTATGGTACTTTCTTTTTAATACTAAGAATTCTATTGCACTAGTGTCGATCGATGTAAACAATTTTTATTGCACACATGGAGGTTAGATTCAATTCAAAATGAAGAATTTCCTGTATAACGATACTTTAGATCTATCTTGTGAGGAAAGTGACTAAGTAAAAGTATCAAGAAAAACTTCTTGTTAGTGATACTTTTTGAGTACTTAGGGAATATTAACCAGATTCAATATTAAAACGGATTTATTTTTGAAAAGAGCATTGACATTTTACTTCGATTAATGAATTAAATTCATATAAGAATAGTATACTTAAGAGATAGCCCTTGCCAAATCGAAAATTTTTAAAAATTTTTGTTTTTAGTCTTTTTGTGCTCTATGTATAATTTGAACTGTTCTCTGTCTATTGGAAATAATGCATGAATTAATGCATGACTCTATAAAAGTCGAAAAACAGAAGCAAAATAGAGTATTTACGCTGTCTTTCAAAACGAACTTTTTCACTAAATAAGTATAGAATCGCCGCGTTCTTCGATTGCAATACATCCAATCGACGTCCAACTTGCTTTAAATTATACTAGAAATTATTTTGAATACAATATTTGATCAGTAAAATAAATAAAACGGTCAGTAAAAGAGTCTAGAATTCGCCAGTATATATATTGCTTGGGCAGTATTAAAAATATCAGTTAATAATTATGAAGTAGTCAGTTTACTATGTATAAGTGGCAGTAGAAAAATATAGTTTATACCAGTAAAATATATAGTTTTGATCAGTAGAAAGACACCTTTTTGTCAGTATAAAGTATACTTTAGTACAAGAAATAGAAATGTGTAGAAAGAACCATAGAAAGAAAAACAAGAAACCTGCTGAAACAAAAGTAAGAAATCTATGAATTAGTACTAATAAAGGAAATGAACATTAAATTATTGCACCAATAGAGCCGGTTTATCTTTTACTGGTCGACCACGTTTTTTCTTTTCGCCAATTGGAACTGTCTTTGCTGCTGGTGGTAGTTCGCAATATTTTAACCGTATACCCATACCGGCAACGTGCTTACATTTATAGTTTTAAGAAACGCTAAACAGTTACATTTCGATGTTTTCCAATGTGAATCATTCTCCATTTCCACACACCAAATATCAAATAATTTCTTGAATTGATTGAAAGTTATAAATTTTTATTTTTATATCTATTTAAATCAGTTTGAGTAAACGATTGTAAATCACGAGCTGGTATATAATAAATCTTCGAAAAATCATTTGGAATACAAATTATAATTTTGATTGATTTTGCCCATTGATACGATGAAGTCCATAATTCTAAAGTGTTTGTTGGTTCTGTAGCAAATTGTTTTGTATTTGCTGATGATGAATCATGATCGATTGACCAATTATGCACAATATCTGAAGATGTTGTCAAGAATCTTGATAAAACATGACGTTCTCGAAATGTACCATCGTCTTTAATCATTCTATTGGTTGCTTTCAATGCATTGTTGGTACTTGGTGTATAAAGTTGAATACTTTCATACCAACCAGAGTTTGATTTAAGCCATTCATCATCAAAATATTGTAAAAAATCTGATATTGATTGATTTTTCTCCTTGTTGTTAAATTTTCATTTTTTCATAAACAATGCAGTTGCTAATTCAAATAAACTTGGAGAGTTACACAATTGAAGCATATCGATGTCCTCGACCATTTCTAGAGCGATATCTCTATCGTTTACCTGACATATACGATTTTCAACCTTTCGCTTCATGTGTGACCAAGACATGATTTTATTATACGAATTACCAAACACGTTTCTAAAACCATTTTTAATTGAATCAGCTGCATCAGATACTAATGCTTTTGGTTTTAAGAAATTTTTGCCGATTTGTTGCATACCGATTTGAAGAGCATTGAAGATGAACTCGAAATCTTTCGTTTTTTCATTTGAACAAATAGCCAGTTCAAATGGATGAAATTCTTTGTTAAGGTCAGTTATACCAATGACTAGGATTGGAAAGCGTTGTCATACTAATTTATAAGAGGCATCAGCATGTATATGAGAAGCTACTGATGCAATATTAAGCAGACGTACAGAGGATAAAAATAAACGAAATATTCTCCCACTTATATCTTCTGCATCTTCATATTCTTCATCATGATATAATATCTTACAAGAGACAACAAAAGCTTTATTTTCATCAGATGGCACATTTGAATTATATCTTCACACCGTTGTTCTAATTCACCTGAACTAATTGTATGTGAATCATACTTTTTTCTTTTGTAATAAGCAAGATAATTGTTCAGCTGTACATAAGTTGGTATTTTTACTGGTCTTGATTGAAGTGCTCGAATAATAGGTTTTGGTTTCATTATACCATCATCATATAATTCTTCTATAAATCGTTTAACATTTGTATCTATACCAAGAACCTCGTACGTAGGTGAAGTTAGCAAAATATTCGAGTAAATATTAGCAGAGATTCGCTCAAGAACATGTTCCAGGTATTCCATTTGTGTTCCAAGTACAACTCGATGAGTTCTATCGAATGGCGTTATCAGACTTTCCATAGCTGAGACAATGTGTTCAGAAATTTCAAAAGGCTGGTTGATTCGTAAAGGAATCTTAGAACATATATAGCAAAATTAGCAGCGATTCGTTCAGGAACATGTTCCACATGTTCCATTTGTTTTGCACGTACAACTGGATGAGCTCTATCCAACCGTGTAATGAGACCTTCAATAGCTCAGACTATGGATCCAAAAATCTCAAAAGCCTGGTTCATCACTATATGAATCATAGAACATATACAGTAAAATCTCCTAAAGTCGACACAATCAAGGATATTGATACGATATTTTTTGCTTGATCTTTAACAAGAGTCAATCTCTAAATCTGTTACAGGAAGTCATTTATAAGTTGCCATAAGAAAGATACACCAAAGTCTCATTCATACTAAATATAGAAAAAGAATCGTAGAACAAGTTTCAGAACCAATCTTTTACTGATATAAAGCAGCGGACTGACCGATATAACATACCACTCTCATATGTAATATTCCCAAGGAATGGTCTTCGCTAAAGCAAATCCAACTAATTATAACAACCGATACAGCTGATCAATTTTTACTTCGAACACAAACACAACGTCTAAAACAGGTTAATCGGCAACATGCACGCAGATTTATTTTAATGACGAGGGATGGCCTATACAGGTGAACCTATCACGTGAAGTTTACGGACACATAGTTTGACTTATGAAAAATCTGATTACACCATTGGATAGAGCTCATCGAGTTGTACTCGGGATCCAAATGGAACATCTAGAACATGTTCCTGAGGGAATCTCTGCTAATTTTACTATATAGGATTTAAGATTCATATAGGCATAAACCAGTCTTTTGGGATTTTTAGAACCATAGTTTGAGCTATGGAAAATCTAATTATGCCATTGGATAGAGCTCATCGAGTTGTACTTGGAACTCGAATAGAACATTTGGAACATGTTCCTCAACGAATCTCTGCTATTTTACTCGAATCTTTTGCTAACTGCTCCTACGTGAACCTCGTCATCATTATGATTATGTTCAGCTTCAGCTTTGTACACGGTAACTTTATCACTCACAGCATGATAAAACAAAAAGATACAACAAATTCATTGAGAACCACGACGTTTGGATTTTTTATACCTATAATAAACTCTGCTTCCATCTTCGGTATAATTTATATAATGTTTTGACTATTCATTTTCGTCGATGGTTCTGCTCCACCAGCATTATTAAATGTTGCTTCTTTAATCCAAAATTTGTTTTTTTCGTTTTTTTATGAACTCTTTTATCTTCATTTTTTGCAGTTTTTTTCAATAATTTCTTCATCCGATGATGTATCACTCTCATATTGAGCGACTTTTATTGCTTTCATCTGTGAGTTTATTATTTTGTTCGCTTGATGATGATCGTTTATTATAAAAATTCGTGAATTTTTATAGGTATTAGATAGCGCCTAGATGTGGTAATATCCGATCGCGTTATGAAAAAAACCAACAGCGGGAAAATTCGGTGACTGAATAAAACGAGGAAAATTTCAAATAGAAAAGGAACATGTGTACTTTCAACAGATGCCAAAGTCACAGAACAAAAGAGGAAAATATATACCACGTACCGTTGCTGACATAATAAAAGAGAACAAAACCAATTGAGGTGAATGATACTATGACGCAGTTAAATTTCTACACTTTCCTTTTAATTTAATTTACTAGTAATAAATTTTATTCACTGATCATTTAATTTAATTAGAAATCTATGTCATTAATAACTGATCATTTCATTAATTCACTGACCATTCATCAAATTTACTGATTTTTCGAATTTTTTCATTAACTGACCATTTCATTCATTCTCCTGACCGTTTAAATGGTAACCGAAATTATTTAGGGTGCCAATATTTTCTTCCTTTCAAAATATGACGTATCACTGATTCTTGCCAAAGGTTCAGAGAAAAAAGAAAGTTCCAATTAAGAAAAAACATGTTTTTTTATGGTAAATTTAGGTTTGCAATATTTTTATTCAGATGGAAGGTCATATAAAGAAACGAAAAAAATCTAGTCATCACGCAAAGTGTCTTGCATCGGTAAATAAATTGCTTAGCTTTATCAGGCATGTTGTGGCTGACAAAAGAGGCAAATAGACAGGAATGAAGATATTTTTCACCTTTGCGACTGCAATATCTCTTCTCGAAAGTTTTTGATGCATCGTTCTTCAAAAGTGCGGGACAGAGGATGAGCTCTCTTTAAAGGGATTTTCTCTTTATTGACGCAAAAAAAAATTTTTTTTCGATTGTGAGGTTTCATTTCTTAAGATGTGTAGAAGTTTCTTTTACCATTTACCGTCAAAATTAGAACTATGCAAAGTCGAATAAGCTTTGAAAAACAGGTTTCTAATGTTTTAGATGGCAATCTTTTGAGTTTATCTTGTTTATTAATTCTATGAATATTTCTTAGAAACAGCTCTTTATACTCATATTTGATGCACAATAAATGATAATCTACAATAATTCAAAATGAACACAAGAGAAAAAAGATACACGTGAAAAACACAAAGTTTTAGATTGTTTTGAGCTTTTCTCAAAATCAATTTTCAAACGAAAAAAATGAAGTTTATTTCCCTTTCTCGTACGAGGTACATCCGATCGGACTCAGATTCTTTTAATGACTGCTATGATCGAATTGACGTACGTGTTTTTTTTCAAAATGTTGTTCCTACGAAATTTGGCAATCTTCAAAAGTGTAATACCACTGCAAAACAAAACAACTTTTTTTGACGGTGTTTCCAGTATTTTGCTTCTCGTGAGCTCTGGGAACAATATTTTTGCAAGAAGAAAACATTACAGCTTGAAAAAAAATGAAATTTCGAGTTCTGCAAAGAGAGAAGCTTCCGACCATTTTTTTCTCGGCCTTTGCAACTCCCATATATTTCTGAACGAAGTATTTGGGAATTTTGGATAACTTTTGCTCTACTTATCGATATCTATCTACTTTTAAAGTTTCATAACTTTTCGTTAAGCCCGTCTTGGGAAATCCTTGAAAGTGGTGAAAGGTGTGTCTCCTCAAGACTTTTCAAAATTGAAATTATCATCAAGATGAACACTTTTGAAGTTCATTTCATTCAAGGTCTAATTTTTGAACAGCCAATGTCGAGTTATAGATAGTTTTACGAATATTTTTTGGAAAGGTATTTTAGATTTTTACAGAACTCTAATGTATGATGAACACTGCTGTTTTTAGTTTTATTGTTTGCTTTCTTGTGTCGATTAGTATACAGAAAGTTTACTTGGTATACAGAAATTTCTCTACTCAGTAAAGACTGTTTTTTAAACAGTGGCTAATATTCAGACAATCAATTAGAAAAAAATGTATTGCGTTACCTAATGTATGGAGGAACTCATGCATAATCGTTCCTGTGTAAACACAACCAGGATTTTGTAATGTCACCATGCGATCGAATGTCAGTCCTGTATATCGTCCGATCTCGAAAAATTGAAATATATATATATTAAACTCTAAATAAAAATATCCTCACAAATTACTCACATAAGATGAACAACCATTACCATTTTGAATAGTGATATAATATTGTCCATCTGAAGCGATTTTCGGACGAAATTGTACACAAAGTACATTATTAACTGCTGTTAAGCTCTCCAATGTTCGCATAGCATTTATAATTATATTTTGATCTGCAGTGTCTACAAATAAACATAATCTTGTCGTTCAATACTTGATGTATTATATTATAGCACGACACTAAAACAACTACTATCAGAAAATCCAACAAATGTCTTGTTCGACATATTACATTTGAACATCAAATATTATTATTACATATGAAAAAAGAGACTTACTGTAATCTGATGAAATAGTATATGGTACAATTCCATTTGGCCAACGTACATAATCACCTACCATTGCTACACTTCTCTAGATTTTATTGAAAAAATGAAACTATTATTAGTACATGAGCAGAATATATATTGTTAACTTACAGCCATTGGAGGAATAACTATATCACCTTCGAAATGTCCACCTAAAACATCATGAATAAGCATATACATATTATTCTTCACTGTATCAAAGAAAATGGTAACTTTTTCTATTATTCTTGAATAAGTCACATCTATTTATCATTTATGAGGACACCAATAACTCAGTATTGAAGAGTAGATGGTAGAATGTTTTCATGACAAGTATTTGAATTAAAATGATTTTTGTTTGATTTAATTAGGAAAATTTTTAATTGAAACGAAAACGAATGTTTTTCTCCAAGGTACATTAGTTATTACTAATGATCAAAACATACAATATCAATCATTGACAAAAACAAAATATTCCTAATAGATATCATTTGTGATATTAAGTCCAACTGATTCTAAAACTACGACACATTTTCATGAAATGAATTTAGTATCGATATAAGAATGGATTAATTCGATGTATAACTACGAGATTATCTTGAAACTAAGCTTAAAGTCGTCAAATAAATTCATTTTACAGATTGTATGTTTATTCAAAATCAATAAAACTATAGTAGTTGGTTTTTCCATTTCAGTAAATTTTTCGATATAATACTTACCAATTTCTTCAGGGTTTCTTTGTCTCACCGACGAATTCTTAATTAAAACAATCAAATAACATAAATTATCTTAAAAGGAAATTCATCTTTATAAAAACTAACCCTTGCTGTTGGTAATCCATGTAAATTTGTTATAAGAGCAAAAACAATTAAGATCAATAAACAAACAATGGCCATTCTATATACTTGATTTTGATTAGTAATATAACACATTTGATCGATTTCTATAATATAAAATTGTGTTTTGTGCTACTCACAAATGTGAAAATTCTAATAAATAATATTTCATGTTTACTCTCTTATGAAATCGTCCTTTTGCATATCTATAGTGAAGCATACAGTTCTCTCATAGCTCAAACGTTATATAGTTTTAAAAAAAGACTAAGCTTTTATATTCATCTTGCGAATGTCATCTTTTTATAAACACAAGAGAAGCATTTTTATCCTAATTACGAAAGATGCTCGTTAACTTAGTTTTATCAATCGTTATAAAAGAAATATAGATATTTTAACTGTTGATTCATGAGAAAATCTTTTGATGTAGTGATCAACTAACGAAAAGACATTGTGCTACAATTGAACGACAGCAAACAGATTACAGATGAATTAAATGGAGAAATTATGCTGAAAATTCTTAACGCTACCAGTTTATTCTCTCATCTCAGAATCCAAGAAGATTTTAGTAAACACATTTATTAATAATATGAGAAGGTCTAAAATAGTAATAGTAAGACTTATATGAAAGAATATAATTTACCTTAGTTTGATATGCTGGTTTCTTGTTCACTCTTATATATATCTAGTGTCAGACAATATTAAACAAATTTTGTTTAAAGATTTGAAGATATAAGACATCAAAAAAGATAAGAATAAAGTATATATTGTTATTTTATATATAAATAATAGTAGGTTGACTATATTTCTTTAGTTCAATAGAATATATATTTTGACAATGTTATATTGTATTTTTTGGATATGAAGACATTGAATGATTAGTGAGATTTAATAATCTATAGATAGATAATATTTTGACTTTGTATGGACTCGATATTTTCTATATACAGGATGTTACAAAAGTTTGTCGTAATAAAAACCATGAATAACACTTGAACAGTTCAAGGAATCTATATGAATGTTCTATAACTTCCTTTGGTTTTCCTTCAAGTTATATTCAATATAGTTCAGATCAAATGCATACGTCTCTAGTCATTAGAATCAAAACAGTTTCATTGTTGGCCCAATTTGAGTTATCTACGATTATAAAACGAATCATATACCGGTCGATCTTAACATAGAAACTGTAAGTAAAGATAGTATGAGAGAGATCTCTAAAACCTTTACTAAGCCTGGTACTGGAGTGGGTCAGTCGGATTTTGAACACCCTATTGTAATGACAGAAAAAGAAACCGATGCTTTTTGTATTACTCATGAAAGTATATAGCTCACAAGTGTTCTGGTTGTTTGGAATAGTTTTGCAATCTTAATCACAATTATGAGAGAAATCAGTAAGTTGTTCAACAAAATCAAGGATCTTCGTATTTCGAGAACGAGGTATAAAAACTTCTAGACAACTCTGTCTGTAACATCCAAAGTTATAGAGGTGATTCTTTTCGATGAGTTTCACACTTATTCAACTTAGCATCTCTTGCATTCTTTATATAGTTACACATGAAAGACAATATTTCGCAGATGTCTATCGAAGATCAGATTGAATTAATATAAGCCATTGGTGAGAAAAATGCAATAATCTTAATGAAAATTGTATCTGAACTTATGATAGCTCACAGCTCTATGAACTGGTTCTTTTTTTGAGAACTGGATCGAATGATTAGTTCTTTTCATATGGATGTGATGTACTAATAATGATAATGTAGCAATTCTTCTATTCAGAACTTGTTCCACATGTCAAAAAATGAACTGGTCATCAATTCCAGTTTTTTCGGAAAGAAATAACTGAGTGATACCATTTCAGTTCCTTGAACACGAACTGCCACAAGCCTGATTCTATCTAATCTTTTACTTTTTTCAAAAATTAGAAAACAGGGGACCTATGAGTTTCACCTCAATATGGACACTTTGAACAGCGAGAGCAAATAAAAAAATGTAAAACAATTACAGAGCTGTGGTTTCAACATTTTATTTTTTTGTTCGACACGGTTACACATTTTTGTGAACGCAAAACTTTACATATAATAAATATAGCAATACGATATAACTATACGCTGAGTCTTTTCTGAGAGTAGCGAATAAATAGCTAAAACCTTGATCCTTCACTGTTCATGTAGGCGGAGCTGCCAGGTATTGGTGGTAAAAACCATTCTATGATTCATGAAAGTTTTTCAAAAAAAAGGGTTTCTTTTTCTAAATTATTTATTTACACGAACAAGAAATTGATGTGGGCAAATATTAAAAAGAATGGTACATTGCATCACATGTATATCTCATAAAAGTGATATTAGAGCATAATGAATTATTATATGCACTAATGATATTAAAAGTTAACTTTATTGTCTAAGCAGTAATATTTATTTCTTATTTTTGATTTTATTATTCATATTGATATTATCAAAACAGAAATGATACAGACGAAAAAATTTATCAAATAAAAAAGTGATTAGAATCGACTTAAACTAAAAACAACAACTAAAGAACCCTAAAATGACTCTACGAAAAAATAGACACTCGATCTCTATTTCTAGTTAACAGCAACTAAAATACAGTAGTAAAAAAAACTGAAATGTATACACTAAAAGAATCGATTGTTTTTTTTCTATCCGTAATAGAAAAAAAATATTAGAATTTAAGAGACTTTTAAAACCTAATTTACGCATTCCAAATTCAACTAAACTCTAATGTCAACTGTGACATATGTAATATATTATGCTGAACTTTAATTGACGTCTAGTTTGTCTTAGCAAGCTTCGATCAATAAAAAGAAAAGCAAAGATCTTTAAGTCTATGCCTTTTGAACAGTATTTTTTATCGATGTTTGTCTTGAAGCTTAACATGATCTATGGATGATATGCAAAGTGCAAATATATTATGCTGTTTTAAAAGTTTTTTGAGTTATATTGCAACAAAAAAGCAATGAAAATTTTTTAGTTTATTCCTTGTGATAAAATAATAACTGCCTTCTCTTGAAATTTCATAGTCCAAAAATTTAAAATGTTAATTCGTTTGTTCATATAAATGATTCTGAAAATCATTTTAAAAAGTAGCTATTAGTGCATGTATTATAATAAGAATTAATAAAACTCACTACTCTCTAGCGTAAAAGAAAATTATATAAAAAGCACAAAAAAAAATGTCGCAAATTACATAGGTTATTCTGATTATTTTCGACTAAAACCGATTTAAAATCGTCGAAAAAGTCATTTTTAATCAATTTTGTGTGATTAAAGGCGATAGAATTTGAATCCAGTTTTCTATCTTTTACATTGATGATAATCGATTTCTGCCTGATGTCGCATGTTTGTTCGCACAATCACCTATTAACCGATGACGGATTATAAGCGATTCGAAAAAATGTTTTCTACTTAAATTCGAATTATTTATTAGAAAGAATTCAAATTAACGAAAAGAAAACAGTTTCAGAATATATTTTACGAATAGAAAATTTTGTAAAACTATCTATAGCATACGTTTTATCTTATAATTACGAATGATTTGTATGCTGTGGCTATTACAGGCTATCGAGACGCGTTATCGTTACTAAAGTCTATCGGAAACGCGTTAATTCTATCAAATATAACAGAGTCCAAAAAATTCACTTGCTTTTATAAAAAAACATCATATTAAAACATTTTCAAAAAAAAAACCGGTGGTATGTTGCACGTTATACCGATCGGTATATCAGCGGTGGTTTCTCTGTAGTTATTACATGGGAAATTAGAGTTTATTTTTATATGGAAAAAAAAATATTTCGTAATTTTTGTCTAATTAAAAATGAATTTTGCCTAGGTTATATGGGGAAATAAGGATGTTAAATCGAGTTATGTATCACTTACTAATTTCACCGATGAGTCTTGTACTTGCTGTAAGGTAAAATACTTAAGGGAGTCCAAAAATAGTGACAGTGTCACTTTAGTACTGTGTATTTAGCTTTAGAGCATTTTCTTTTTATATACAGGCATAGTAGAAACAATGCTTCATTTTTCTGTTGTGTTGATCATTCTCCAAACAAATATTATAATAATAATATTTCGATATGATTTGTTTGTCTATTAAATGTGACGATTATACTAATAGTATCTATTTAAACAAGGTTATTGGATATTTGTTGAATAACTTCCAATTAAAAAGTGATAAGGAGCTGCAGTTTTCATCGCTCGAAAGCGAAGTCAAAGATGCATGAAATCATATATTACATGTCTTCATAGTGTATTGTCTGCAGCTTATTTAATTGATATGTTAACTGTGAAAAAAAACGTTTTTTTTTAGTAAAAACGAAACAACAATTTAAATTTTCTCAGAAAAATGACTAGAAAAAATACTTAGAGATTCAAGTAAATTTCCCATAAATCCTGAATGATTAATTCTAAACATCAAAAATTTGTGCAATTTTGTACATTGTCCATTGACAATTTGAATATATACGTGACCATTAAAAATTTGCTATTAACATCTCACGGGATAGGTTTGTTTTCGAAGAGGTCAATTGAAAAGCTTAAAAAATCAAGTCAAGAAAAAATCATATATATATAATATTTAATTCGAGGCATCTTCATCTCCTCTATCGAAAGATGAAATTCACAGCTCTCTATCTTGTTTCTATGAAAAGTTATTCCAAAAGTATCCAATCACCCCACTTTTTGTTAAATCGATATTAGTATAAACGTCACATAGAGCAGAAAAACATGTCTTATAGAAATTGTATGATTATGACATTATTCAAAGAATGATCAAAATTACGAAAAAAATACCATTGTTTGTACTATTTCTGCATATAAAAAGAATATATCCGAAAGCTTACTATACAGTACTAAAGGGTCACTGCCACTATTCTTGAACTGTCCTAGTTACCTGTGTACGCTTCTCATAGTCGTTGGTGAATAGAAATGAAGAGTAGCAGATAAAATGCACTTTTATAAGCACCCCACGTATTAGGCCATTGTTTATTTTTATAATATTATTCTTATTATCTTATTATTATAATCATGTGATGATTATGAAAATAGTCGATGACGAATACTGTACATGTGTTTTACAAAAGATGATTCATGATGATTCATAACGTACTATGCTTTTTTTCACCTTTAATCTTCGTTTCAATATTTTAGCACATTTCATTTGGTGAAAAATATTTTTTCTCATTTACAGAACATTGAAAACAATTTTTCTTTTTCAACTGACGTCACTTAAGTTCTTAAAACTTTTATTTGTGAATAGAAGACTGGAGACCCCAATAGGGTCCTTATCAGTACTCAATCCAGAAGCAACAAAAGAAAAAACAAAAACAAAAACAAATAGATACCTAGTGACGAATAACAAAATAGATTGACTAATTGCGATGTAGACAGTATTAAGAAATATAATAAATGTTCTTCGAATTGAGTTATATTGATAGAATAATGGAAGAAAAACAGAAGATTAATGTTTAACACACGAAATAAATTATGGCGTATATAAAAAAAAAGAACACCATTGGAACATAAAACTCCAGAATATTTCAAAGAAGTTTTTTAGCGTCATCAGATCAAACAAGTCAAACTCGAGCATAGAATGTTGAGCTGAATTATCAGCACAGCACTCCACCGCTTTTATTAGAACTGATGTGTGTTCAACAAATCTTTTGAATATTCGTAGACATTGAATAGATTTCTCTCTTTACATCCAGACCCTTCTTAACTCATTCAAATTCATTTGTTCTTTTTAGAACGTTTCATCCTTAAAGCAAGATAGAGTTGCTAAATACTTTTCCCAATACCTCAAATATCTATCTTCAAGCGGAATCTCCTCAAAGAGATTTAAAAAAAACATTATTCCACTTCCAACTGTACAGTACTCTCTTCAAACAAGTGTAGTAAAAATGTGCAAGGTCATTTCTCTGTTTTAGAATAAATAGTGGATAGATCATGAATAGTTATGCGAAGAGAGGTAAAACATAACAAGAACCCAAAGGTCTTCTTAGCTTTGACGACGTGGCCCCATCTATCCGACAAGCGTTTACCATCGAGACTCCTTGTCGAGTTTTCGACATACTCATATTAGTCATTGTTGTTCCAACCTAGCTTCGGTGTTAACGAGTATCCTAGGGATTTGAACTTCTTCAATCACTTAATTTTATCATCATCTATTGAAAAACTAAACTTTGAATCGTCTATTACATTAGCTGGCCAGATCACTTCCGTTTTTGAGTAGTTGATAGGTTATCAGCAGAACTGTCATAGTTCTTCGGTTCCTGCATTTTCTTTCATTGTGGATAATAGTTTTTGTTACAGTAATTGTGATATAGTTGCAATTGTTATGCACGTTAGTGATATCAATTCTCTTGGTGAGTATTGACCTTTAATATTAGTTATTCCTTTGGTTCCTCTGTTTAGGGAGTATTGGCAGTTCAACTCCCTCGGAGAAATTAAGAAATTGAGAAGTAGTTGAGATGGACAACTTTCCTCATATTCATCTGATTCAAGTCCATCTAGAGTAGTCGATGAGAGATTTAACTAGGATATGTGATGTAATTGAGGGTCAGTTCTCAATTCCTCATCGAATTTATTACATTTAGCTGGTACTTTTAAGAATCGGCAGAATTTCCAAATCTCTATATCTGGGTACCCCTCAACTTTTTGTTTTTTTAAGTCTATTCTATTGTTATGAGCAGAAAATATTAAAAGCATAAAAAATAAAGTTTAATATCAATAACATTCAAAAATATAACAACGTTCATATTGCTGTTCCACAAAATAACAGCCTACCAATGTAGCTTAATTTTCAATTATTTTGAGACCATATTATTACTCAATTGACTTATTGAGTTGTCAATGCTTCCAGTGCTTGGATCTGTGGATCTTTTGTAGGAATCCTCACGAATGAAACCGTTTCCAGCTGAAAAACTCCACAAAATGGTAAAAATTTCAGAAAAAGATAAACATGAAATCAACTGATGAGAATCCATGTTCGACAACTCTTATTTAGAAAACGCAAACTGAAGAAAGAATGCCTACATCTCAAATTGCGTTGATCAGTCAAATATTAACGAATTTCGCATCAATACGGTCGTCAAATAAAGATTCAATAATATTCATCATAACTGTTGTTGAAAGTTTCGCTATTTTGATTACCTCAAAATATCTGTACCAATTTAGAATTTTTAGAAAAAGGCAAAAGACAAGATATACAAGTAATGCGCAAAAAACTAAAACTTACTTGTTATGAGAAATAGATCGAATAAATAAAATTACTTGTCGATACTGTTAGTAAAAATAATCCACAACAAACCCCATGAATTTTATGCTGTTTGTATCTCTTACTATAACAGATAGAAAGCTGAAATTCTAGTGTAGGCTAGATCTAGATGTCTAGTATATATCCTGCAAATCTTAGCTCATTCTACTGAAAAAACATAAGAAAAGAATAATACTTGAAGAAAATCAGAACTTATTACAAATCTTTTATATATGTTAAATTAAGTAGTCTTATTCTAATACAAACAGAAGGCGTCGAATACTCTGAGAAACAATAAATTTCTATTGCTTCATCAAGTTCTTTTGAATGAAAGTAATGATTACCTCTTGCAGTGTCGATACACGTCTATGATTATACTTATACATTAATTCACTTAGAAATTATAGAGTATATATTATGTACATCTAGATATTCTTTACAATTTCTTAATTTTTGCTTAAGAATATTAGACATTTTAGTCAACTTTTAGAATTTACAAAAAGCAAATTTTCGTATTAATATTAGATTACATTGGTTTTTTATTCACAAAAATAGCAATAAGGTTAACGAAGGAAGGAAGGAAGGAATATAAAGTTGTATCAATGTTTATTACAATTTAGTTCAGCACATATTCAGATAGTTAGAACGTCACATGTGACTATTAAAAATATTGTGGATTTGTTATTTGCATCAGATACGGTTGTTCTTCGACATGTCTTTCTTCTATTAAATAATGGGCACCTTCAAAATTTTGTCTAAAAGGATTCCATTTAACTTGAACAGTCACTTTTCCATTCTGATTTTGTTGTATATTTCCTAATCCTGTTTCATAATATTTATCAAAAGCCATTCGAAGAGTACTTGGTGAATAGACTCCTTTAGCAACATATACACCAAAACTATCTCTTCCTTTACCATATACAATGTAATCAGCTTGAGGATAGAATGAAAGTATAACATTGTGAGGTTCATACCATATACCATCTTTGAAGTAAAAACCAGTAAAAGTATTAGTCTGAAACATAGCATTGCCTATATCGTTATGAAAAGGAACTCCATTATAAATGTATGCTTTATTAGAACGAAAAGGTTTGTCTTTGCGGTAATAAACACCACGGCGATAAGCTATGATGCAAAGAACAATTAAACAAATGAGAATCAATAGTCCACCAAAAACGCTACCAACAATGATACCAACACGTTCATCTGCTGTAATGCCGTTATCATTATTCTCTAAATAAGCAAAGATCAAATTCATATAGATTCTATTCTTTAAACAAAAAATAAAAAGAATTTTATAATAAAGATATTTGAAAAATAACAGAATCTTTTCTCTAACGGTTTGAAACAGAAATCTATTTCGTCTATTTATTTAATTCAGTAGAAATTGGAGTNAGAATGAGCCCAAGCGGAGAAAGAAAGTAAGTCACATTACGAATCTAGCGTCGCAAAAATCTGAACCTAATTTTGCTAGCCTGAGAATCAACATTGAGTCCTCAGTACTGTTCATAGGATTTTCGCTTTTGTCACAACTCAATTTTTTCTCACCAGTAATCACCCTCAAGTGTGGAGAAAATTTTTTATCACCTTTCTATTACAACTTTTTATGGTTTGATAGAGGTAAGCGTGTTGATTACAAATACCACACTTTTTTCGAAAAGTACTCAGATAATAAGAAAGATCTGAATCACTCTCTGAAAGCCTGAAAAACAGTTTTTGACCCGAAAGTTCATTAAAACACAAACTAGGTTCGTGAAAAATAGGTTTATTTCCTGCAAAGTTTTACTTCTCTATCAGAATCTATGAAAGTGTCTTATACGTTCAGTGTTTCTCCATCAAAAAGTGCCAAATATCTCCCGTATTGGATCTTGCCATGGTTGGGAGTGTTTTTTGAACGTTATAAAGTTATAGGTTTTATGGCCGTGCCAGCTTGATTTTTTTACCGAATATGTAATTCAATCTACTCCTTCTGTTCATTCCATTTTGATCTTGAAATCCGATGTCTAGTAAAGCACTTTTGTCCTAACCAGGGTACTTTATAGCCAATGTCTGTCTTTTTTTGACTAATTTTCGATGGTTTTTGGACAGAGGTGACCCCTGTTGACATGAAAAGATGCTATATTTGGAATCAGTACCCGAAAGTCAATCAACGCATGTATGCTTCGAATTCCTTCTGGGGCTTCTTTTTCAGTTAAATTTTGACCCGTGGTCTTTCTTAAGAATATAAGGGAAAATGAATTTCATTAAAACCATCATTTAAATATCTATGCATCTATAATTTGTTTTTAAAATAACATTTTACAAGTCCAGAAATACTTTTCCACTGACCAAACGTTTTTTTGATGGAATACATTTTCCCTTATATCCCTGAAGGAGACCATGGGTGAAAATTCGGCAGAAAAAAATAGAACAGAAACAATTTGAAACACGTATAATTGAACTGAGTATTTTGTGCTGATTTCAAATATGGTATTTTTAAAATCAAACCTAGTTCGTTCTACTCGAAAATCATCGAGTACTAGCCCAAAATGACTCTCAAGTATAGTAGGGGTAGCATAAGCACTTTACTAGACATTGAATTTCAAGTTGAAAATGGTGTCATCAGAACGAGAAAGTTGAATTACGTATCTGGTAAAAAAATCTCCTGGTTCACCCTTATAAAATGTAAGTTTAAAAAGCCGAAATAATCAGTATTTGTAACAATATGACACAATCGAGACGGTATTTCCTAATTATCGGTTGAAAAAGGTTTGAATACTTAGGACCTTCTTATAGATTCTGGTAGAGAAAAAACTTCTACGCGAATAAGGCTATTTTTCTTGGATTCCAATGGAACTTTGATGGACTTTCATGTCAAAAACCGGTTTTTAGAGATTCCAGAAAGCGCTTCAGATGTTTCGTATTATTCGACGAATATTAAAAATTAGTATGATAATCAAAATCAGCATACTGAGTTCAATCGAACGAGAAGTGCCTCTACAAAAACGAAGACAAAGCCTTTTCGATCCCTGAGGGGATACAAAGCTGAATGCTGATTCTCAGAAGAATAAAATTGAGTTCAGACTTTTCAGATGCATATACCGTAGTAAGACACATCTCCTTTATGAGAACACGCAGATTTTCTCTAATTTATAGAGTAGGTTCAACTTTTTTGAAACCTCAGAATCTTTCAAAAGCTTTCAAAATCTTTTAAAATCTCTTAAAATCTCTCAAAATCTTTTAAAATCTTTTAAAATCTTTTAAAATCTTAAAATCTGCTTTTTCCCCCTTGGATTTAACTCATCGGTAGATAGATAATTGTTTTTTCTTTGCATGGACTCGATATTTTCAATGTGCAGGATGTTGTAAAAGTCTCTCGTGATAAAAACCGAGAATTGCACTTGAACAGTTCAAGCCATTTCACTTTTGAAAAACCCGAAAACAGTGGACTTGTGAGTTGCATTTCTATGTGAACATTTTGAATAGCGAGAGCAAGTAAAATTATGCAAAAGGATGTTTTAAAGAAAGTCGAATAAAATTATAGAAATCTCACAGGTCTTGATAAAACTGTTCAAGAGTTATTCTCGTTACTTTTCTTAATGAACTTTTGGAACACCTTATATATTTTTTTTTTCTCAGAAAAATGGGAACATTTAATAATTCATGAAATTTTTTTGAAAGAAATCTTGTGTTTTTTTCTTAAATGATCTATTTATACAAGTAAGAAATTGATGTGGGCAATTTTTTAAATCAACGGTGCATTGCACAACATGTATGTCGCATAATTATGATATTCGAGAATAATGAATAGTCATATGTACCAATAAAGTTATAAGTTAAATTTATTGTCTAAGCAATAATATAATCAATAGTATATGATGCATAATCTTTTCTGGCAAATTTTTTAAGGGGTCTTTTGATAACAGATCAATTAACTTTTTATGCCGTTTTTTTGTTTTGTTATTCGTATTAATGTTATCAAAACGGCAGTGAAACAAACGACAAAATTTATCAAATAAATAAGTGGTAAAAATCTACTTATACGGTAAAAAACCGATAAAAAATCCTAAAATGTCTCTGCGAAAAAAAGATACACGATCTCTATTTTTTAGTTAACAGCGTCTGAAATAGATCAGTAAGATTAACTGAAATTTATACATTACAAGAACCGCTCGCTCTTTTCTATCAGTAATGGGAAAAAATCCAGGAAAGACATTAGAAATTTTTATTTATTGAATTTAATTCGATTTTATTTTGTAAGCTCTTGTCTACATCAATGAGTTCATCTTGTTTATAAAGATTTATTACTATTATTTATGTTTTTCTAAGAGATTTTTTGAAAGACAACTTCGCACATTATAAATTTAACTAAACTCTCATTTTAACTGTGACATATGTGATGCATTATGTTATGTTCAATTCTGATTGATATCTAGTTTAATGAAGGAAGATGATGAGTTTGGGTGTGTTCTCAATTGAAATTTAGTTTGTCTTAGCAAGCTTTGACCAACAACAAGAAAAGCAAAACTCTTTAAGTTCATGCTTTATGGATAGCATTTTTTTTATCGATGTTTATTTCTCCTCGAGTTTAACATACTTTATAGATGATATACTAAGTGCAAATATATTATGCTTTTGCAAGCTTTATTCAATTATGTTGCAACAAAAATAAAATGGAAAATTTGTTATTCTATATATTTCTTGTGATAGAATAAAAATTGTCTTCTCTCAGAGTTTCATAGAACAAAAATTTAAAATGCTAATTCGTTTGTTCATATAAATGTTTTCGTAAATCATATTCCAATATCGAAGGAGAAGACATTAGTGCATACATTATAACATGAATTAGTAAAAAAACTACTCTCCCACGTAAAAAAGAATTATATAAAAATCAGAAAAAAAAATCGATTTTTAGTCAATTAAAATTATAGATCTTTTAATCGATTATAATCAAAAAAAAATCGAAAGTATTAAAATTTCATCGATTATTCATGATTAAAACTGATTCAAAATCATTTTTAATCAATTTTGTGTGATTAAAAGCGATAGAATTTGAATCCAATTTTCTATCTTTTACATCAATGATAATCGATTTAGAATTGATTTTTCGCATCATTTTTTCCATAGATTATCAAGTAAAGAACAAACAAGTGCGTGACACTTTTTTTGAATGCAAACGAAATCTATGTCATGCGTTTGTTCGCACTACCGCCCATTTATCGGCGACAGCTATAAACAATTTGACAGAGTACTTCCTACTTGAATTAGAATTATTACAAAAAAAATCTAAATTAAAGAGAAGAAAACAGTTTCAGAATATAATTTTACTAATAAAAACTTTTGCAGTGTCATAAATACTATAAATTTTTTCTCGTAATTGTGGCTGTTTTGCGTTCTCTGACTAATACAAGTAGTTCAGACACATTATCGTTGCTAAAATCTACCAGAAATGACTCACTTCTGTCACTTTTAATAAACTTGAAAAACATTTACTCGTTTTGATACAATACATCATGTTACAAAATTTTCAAAGACAAAACTGCCGGTATAGCGCACATTGTACTAATCGGTATACCGACAGTAGTTTCTCTATAATTATCTCATGGGAAATTTCAATTTAGTTTTAAGTGAAAGAAAATTACTTCGTAGTTTCGCGTCTAATTAAAAATGAATTTTACTTAGGTGTATATGACAGAAAAGATGTTAAATCGAGTTGTGTAACACTTACTGATTTCGTCGATAGGCATTGACCATTCTATAAGGCAAAAAATACCTCCGTACACTTCTCGTTGCCAGTACTGAAATAGCAATGAAGAGTAGCAGATAGTATGTTATTTTATATGTCTGTACTCATCAAGCCATTTTTTACATTAAAAATATTAATTTTTTTAAATATTATTACTATTATGTGATGATTACGACAGCAGTCGATCGTGGGTGTTCTAAATATGCGTTACAAAATTTGATTGATTATGATAAATAATATATCATTTTCTTCCTACCGTTAATTTACATATGTTACCTTTAGCATACCTTATTTAGTGAAACATATTTTTTCTCATTTACAGAAAATCAAAAACAACTTTCTTTTTCAATTTGACATCACTTAAGTTGTATTCAGTGAGTCTAGCAGAAGAAGCATGGCTCAATGAGAAATTACATCGAAATTATTTGCTTAATGATCGATCAATAATGAATACTTCCGAAAGATAGACCAAGATTATTTTTGAAGCAACATTTGTCTATAAGTAATTTCACAACTTTTGTTGTGAGATGATAATATCAGTTATTTTTTTTACCAATAGAAACGATTATTACATTGCAGTTGCAATGCAATTATTCGATATGCGATATTAGTTCGGTAGGTTATAAATAACTTTGAATGAACAACAACATTGGAAATAGGCGTCATCCAAAAAAATTGCTTATCTTTCGTTTATGCATAGGTAATGAATGAAGACAGTCAATGACATCATTCAAGTATTATGTCAGAGCTGAATACAATTGAATAAAACAAAAAAGTACATGTCATTTTTCGTCTCGATAAAGTGTGATCATTTTATGCTGGACACTTTCTTGTACATTACTATAAATAAGTACATATCAATACCTCGATATTAAAATAAAATACTTGATTTCAATTGTTAGTAAACAAGGTGTTTTTATGATGATTTATGTTTTTAATCACGTACAAATCAATAAATCTTTTTTCTTTCTTGATCTTATATATCGTCGACAGGTACGTGTAGATTATAAAAGTATCTTTTGAAAAATACTAGTTGCATTGTTTATATACACTGACGAAGAATGTGCTTAATTCATACGATATTCATAAGTTGAAAGAAAACATATCAAATATCTTCTTATAATATAAAGTAGAATATATGAAAAGGTATTCTTTATTTCTGTTGTATATTTGTAACTTTCAGTAGTAGAATTTTTTCGTTTTCTATACGCTTAACTTTATTGACACACACATAGAAAGAGAATTTGAATTAAGCCAAGTTAGAAAATTTTATTCATTCGTTCTTCGTACACTTAAGAGTACGTTTCTGAGAGAATCAAGCATTTTGGGGCATTGGTGATGGAGTAACATTTCAAATTTCATTGATTCTTTTAAAATACGTATTATAGAGAGCGATGACTTCAGTATTTCCTAAAACTTTCAGTTCGATCTAATCATCGCTTCCTACATAAACAATTAAAATACTAACAGAATTTTTGATAATTTTTAATAGTGATTTTTTTTAATCGATTTTCAAGTGCTTTTCGTTTGAAAATTGGCTTTGGCATTTCAATTTCTTAGAATGTTGACTTTTTCTTTTTCTAACTGTAAATTTTAAGATATTCTCTTTCTACATACAAAAATTCAAAGCTTTTCATCAATCCTATGAGAATCTCTGAAATATCATTAAAATATGTCTGTCTTACCCTTTTTCCTGCGTTTTTTGTTATGAAAATGTTCATCAATCATATTTCATGCTGTAATCTCTTCTATTCATCCGCGAAAGGTCGAGATCGATCACAGTTTGCGTTCAAAAGCTAAAGATTTTTCTGAAAGCTACCGACTAATTTTTTTCAAAATCTTAGTATCTAATACATATTGCCTAGTAAAAGTTTTATAGTGGTCTTCGTCTTCGTCACATGATTTATTAACCTTCAGAATGTTTTTTTTCTTAAGAAAGCGTGTTTGAAGAGCATTCATTGGATTTAGCTGAGTGTATGTGGAGTTTAGGACTGATGTGAGTATGAGTGCGAGCATAGGTGAAGCTGTTTTTCAATCGCCGTTCTCTCCACATGTCTTGAGAGAGACACTATATCTAACATCGTCTAGAGTTAGCCAGGTTCAATATGAAAGCACATATGCAATAGGAAACATCAAGTTTACAGCAACTGAAATGAGCAAACTGGCACAAGAATAATTTATAGGTTAAGTATGATGGAAGCAATTATATAAGTCAGTTACGTCAAACAATATGAGACAATATTTAAAAAGGCTAATATTTATGTTGAGCAGATGGAAGAACATCAAAATGATCATAAGGATGATGATTATAGTACCTATAGTACAGTTGAAGTTGATAAGTATTGACTTTTACGGTAAATTTACGTTAATATATTAAGATTCTTTTCCATTGAACGATCTAGATTTAGGGAATTATTCCCATGAGAGCAACAATACAATAATAAATGAAGAGAATTTTCTGAAGATATTAATTCATTATTAATAAAATAAGTTCAGCACATGACTTTTGATAACATTTTTCAATAGAAAAAAACATTCCAAAGGTTAATAAATCATGTGACGAAGAAGTAGATCATTAAAAACTTTTACTAGGCAATATGCGTTAGATACTAAGGTTCTTTTAAAAATTTAGTGGGTAACTTTTAGAAAAATCTTTACATCTTTTCAACACAAACTATGATCGATCTATCTTTCGCCGATGGATAGAGGAGAAGTAACACTATCTGTCCATTATATTATAGTCGAGAAAGTATTTCGTTTCCAAAGCGACTTAAGCTCATCTTCCAAACTTACGACATAGCCATAAAGAAAAGTGACAGGAATTTTTCATCGTCTTTGTACAAAGATAGAGCAATGTCCACTCTAGATAATACGCAAAAATTCAAATAACTTCTCTCTTTCTGTTTTGACGTTATTTGAAAAATAGCCACGGATATTTAACTCTGATATGGACAATAGTACCACTATCGACGGAAAAACTAACTAGGAGTCATCGAATCATTCTTAAAATTTTTCTCCTTCTATGGAATATCTAGGCTTTAATCGAAATTACAACAATATTCGTCCACTCGAGTCTATATAATCAAATAAGATTTAACGAATATTTTAAGAATTTTTTTATTTCGACATAAACAACTAAAAAAAACAAAACAATAATCAATTGTCACTTAGCCCAATCAGGGTCATAATTTGGTCCATGAAGTGTTTCAAGAAGTGAATGAATATATTGAATAGCACCATCAACTGTATCCATACGAGACATTTTTTGACGTTTTCGGCCTTTTTTAAATGGAAGTACATTTCTTAAATCTTCATAAGCTTGATTTATTATTTCCATACGATGACGTTCACGTCGATTTGCTTCTTGTCGTTGTGGACGTGAGAGTACACGACGTTTCTTTCGACTGAAATAATTCTTCTCATCCATTGTTGTCGACATACTATTTTCACTTTCTTCATCATCAATTTGATCGGACTCTTTATACATAGCATATGAATTTGATTCCTGCAAATAAAAATCAAACATTTGTTCAGTTGAAAAGTATTATTATATAGTCACATGTATCTTCAGGTCATTAGTGAAAAAAGAACTGGACAAGACGATGTTCATTTAATAAGTGATAGCAAAGTGTATAATGGTAGGGTTTTCACAGACGTCGTTATCGAGATGGATTTTTCAATAAAAAAACTGTGGCCACTGGAAAAATTGACTTTTCACTTCAAACTTTCCACAACGAAAGCTCTTAATAATAGTTGATTGAGCAAATAGTAGTTTCTTTAGCGACATCAAAATATATGAACAAAATTTCTTTTTATAAATTAGACAATTTCGAAAATCTCATTAAAAACTTGGTCCGTGCAAACTTTGAAGTTGAAAGTCGATTTTTCCTCTAGTCATGATATTTTTTTCAAAATATCCAGCAAAAATTTAGATATCTTAAGAATCGAACAAAAAGAAAACCAAACTATTTTAGACTTTTTCATTACTCATCAATTGAATATAGTCTTGATTCAAAACTGATTTTACACTATCAAGAGGTTTTCTCTGTTATTCTTACATATAAATTTACCTTCATAACAAATGATGGATTTGAAAAACTTGGATCAACTAAACTTGTCTCATTGGTTGCACTTTCATATCCCGATGATGAATTTAAACTTGTTTGCATTGATGAATTCATCATCATATGTGGATTATACGGTGATTGAATATAAGGATATGAATAAAAGTTTGATGGAGTAGTAGTTGTTGTTGTTGTTGTTGAATAAAATGGTGAAGGTGGATAAGACCAAAATGGTGAATGCATTGTTTTATATTTTCATATGATTGAAAAAACTTTTTGACATTTCAATTTATATGTTCGTTCCAGAGAAAAAAAATGATCAATTTCCACTCATAATGAATATTTCGTCATCTACTCATCAAAATAAATGTTCATTAATTAACAATGACGAGCAAGTAATCATTTGTTTATGAGAGAAATGATAATGATGATATACATATATGGACTAATCTGATGGATGAACGTATCCGCGTTATAATGGACAAATTTTTAGTTCCACAAACTCATGTATTGATTCGAACTGCTGTATGAAAATATTTACATTTTTCGAAAACATATTCATATATAATTAAAATATTTTTTCTGTCGATATGACAATAGATTATTATTTAATAAGATAAACAAATACATAACAAAGAGAAATCTAATCTAATGATTAATATACAGAAAAAGAAAAATTCAACATGAATCAATAGTATCGGTTACATTTACTGTTCATGATACAAAAAACAATTACAATAACATCGCAATGTTTTGTGTAAGATTGCTTCTTTTTTATTCGATTAGATTATCCAAACAAGAAGTTGATCAATTGATGAACGTCGTTGAGAATGAATACTACTCGTATTAGTTTGATATTGATAATAATGTAATGTAGCTGAATGATGATGAGAATTTTGTTGATTATCATTAGATGTTTTTATTTGATTATGTTGAATTTTATTTCGTTGATAATTTATTGTTTGAAATGCATGTTGTCGACAAAGTTCACAAACAATAAATGGACGTGTACGTCGTTGTTTAGCAAACAATGGTGTTGAACAACGAGGACTTTGTGTTGAATTAGTTGATGATAATATTGAAGATGAAGAATTTGACAATGTTATCGGATGAGCTAAAAGAAAACAACAAATGAATACTTGACATGAATATTCAATCGACAAAATGTCGGCATCGGTCTCATTTGATATTTAACTAAATACCCGAGTCAACAAGTTATTCAAGAGCATTCTCATCTTCGACACATGTTTTCGTTTGTCCTTTGAACGATAGATATACAAGGCAAAACAAAAAAAAAAGGAAATTAATTTTTCGATGCTAGACACTAAACTTCAATGTTAAGTTCAAGTAGTGTAAATGAGAGAAGGGCGGATTATTCTATGATAAGATCAAAGAAGAACTAGCCGACAAACTAAATACTTATACAATCGATATTATCCTTCTTGATTATATAGCCACAAGCTCTTTTTTTAGTGGATTCTATTTCTTGTTTTTTTTTAAACTGGTAATAATTAAATATCTGAGACATCGTGAATGAAGTTTCAGCGTTTTATTGTTTGTTTCCTTCAGGAAGTCCAGTTAAGCTAAGCAAAAATCTTCTAATAGTCTCCGAAGTCAACCACGTAGTTCTACAATTTTGGCTGAAAAAAACTGAAAATTCTCTAAAACTAGAGTATGCTCAATTTCCCTCCCTTCCTCCCGTCGGTATCAGTACACTACTGTTTAACATTAATTGAAATAAAAAGAAATTTCTTTCTTTCAATCAAACACTATAGTGTGAAATAACTCCTACATTGGTAGTTCAAGTGCTTCTAGCAGCTTTTGTTTATAAAGCAACGATTGTTGTTTATTGATCACAGGCTTTACTCGATATATATATATATATATATATAGAAAAAGAAAGGCGAAGTGATGCTGTTCTTTTTAGCGCTTACACACTCTCAATAAAGGATATCCTGTCGCTCTCTTTTTAATTCTATTGATTTTCATTTAACATAAAACTGTGACTTTTTGTCTTTACTGTAAACTCATTCAAGTTAATGTATTCTAACGAATGAATGAATCAATGATTGACAATCAAAAAAAAAAAATTGTTTCATAATCAATTAGATATTCAATGAAAAAGAAAATGCCTACCTGTTATGGTTGTCTTTTTTCTTGGTTGTAAAGGCGTTTTAGGTGTTGATGAACGTAACAACATACCAACTTGACATCGTGATTGTTTTGTTGATATTGATTTTAAATTAGGTTGTAAAGATAGATTTTTACGTTTTTTTGTATTAGCTGATGATGATGAATAAAGAATTGAAGCAAGTGAATTCATTAGGTTTATTTTTTTGTTTATTTGCTTGTTCTTGTCTAGAAAAGAATATCATCAATACATTTTATATAGCATGAAAAAAAAATCATTATCAATTGACTAGAACAACATTTTGATAATTCATCGTAAATAATAAATGTGTGTGGGTATCATATCGAAAGAAGATTAATCGGATGGCAGCCGATATAATTATCATAGCAGAGATTTTGTTTTTTGATACATACGACGACGTAATCAAAATGAAAATTTACTGTCATTATCAATGAGCCATCACATTAAAATGACGATTTATTATCAGCTAGTAACATCATTTACGCTCTTTTTCTTCTTTCTCACTCGCTCTCTCTCTATCTCTATCTCAAGGGAGACGTAATCACAAGTGTTAATAACTTTTCTATTGTTGCTCTATTTGAAGTTACATAGAACTCGTGTATCACTAACACTAGCTTATACACACATATAATATAGTCATAATAAATAGGTGAGCAAACCGCATAAATTGATTGACAAAGAAAAAATAACAATAACATGTACGCAGACATCTTAAGATGAAATAAATAATTTGCGCGTGCGACTCTCCCCGTAAATTAATAAAGTCCGACAAATGAAGAAAAGGTGCTGAGGAATTAACGCTTCTATATACAGCTTTACAAACAGTTCAAAAAAGAATAACACGTATTTAAATTAGTGAGAAAATCTATAGCATATAGAAATAAATTCGGCATATACGGAAAATGACTATACAGTATGCTTATCATAAATCATATTTGTTACTTAAAATGTCGGGGGCAATCGAACGAATAGAAATGAAATATTTTTTTTGTAGTAGCTATAGAAAAACTGGTTTGAAGTAGCTAACATTGGTTGGTCGTCACGATTTTTTTGCTAAGAGGACGTATGAAAAATTTTCGGTTTCGCTGGAAAAAAAACAAAATGCCTTGATTGAGACATCCCTAGTTTGTAACATGATTCAATACTGTCGAATATTCTAGAAATCTGAAATTTGAGAGATAAGTTTAGCACTGCATCATTTTTACATGAAACAAAGTAGTAGCAGAAGAAGACTCAATTTTTTCTTCAGAAATGAGATATTCCTATATTATAGGAGAATAGTGATAGATTTAGGGAAGGTGCTGGGAACGATTCTTTTTTTTTTCAAAAGATTTTTCCTAACAGCAAAGACTTAAAAATGAGTTGATATTATTTTTCATGACCTTCAAAAGACGTTTTATGATCATGATCGTCCTCTTGTCTGTCAAAGTGCCTCCCACCATAATCCTACTTTTCAACTTCAAACGGGGAGGGGTACTGGGAGCGATTGTTCTTGTCTTTTGAACTATATTTCAATTTTTCTCAGCAAAAACCGAGCCCTAGTAGACTTCAAAACTCGTTTTATAGTTACGATCATCAATGGCAAATTTCGATGAAAGTGTTGAGGGTGATCGCTCCCATTCTAAAAGGTTTCTCTCAATTTTTTCTAGCAGAGAAGACTTAAAAACGAGCTGATACTACTTCTAATGAGCTTCTAAACACTTATTATGATCATGACGGTTTCCAATCACGAAAATTCTAGATCCGCCATTAGATATTTTTCATTCTGTCTCGAAAAAAACAATAAGTTTTACGTCTCTAATTTATGTGCCTACCTGTATATAAATTATTGAAGTGAAAAACAATTTTCTGTTTTTTTTGTGGACTCACCTGCCAGTTAGGTTGATTAGTATTATTGTTGACTGTCAAAGAAAGAGATGCGTTGATGCACAAACAAATTGAATTACCACTCAACTGACGAACGATACTATGAGCGAAAGAGGAAATAAAAAGAGAGCAAAAATCATTTTATTGGCTGTTAACATTTGATTTTTCTCGTTCATTGATTGGATAAACAATAGTTATAAGTAGAAAAAAATTGAACAAAATAAGAATATGTAAAAGGTGGCAAATGTCAAGTCGAGAGACTGTTCACGCAGCATATAAACACCTTTATAATTTCCGCTATACTCAACTATTTTCTTTCTCAACAATGAATATTAAGTTGATGATTTTCCTCACTCACAAAAAAATGACAAAATAATTTCTGTTTTTTGGGTTAACATGTATATACGATAAACAAGAGAAAGGTTAGAAAATTGAATGATTAATATATATATTTGTCAATCAATCGAGCATAGCGATCAACTATCATATATTTTTTGTTTTTAATAATTTGAACAAAATGGCTAAAATTAGTGAACCAGATGATAAAATGTATAGATATTCTGGACACTAAAAGAAAGCTGTTGCCTTGCATTTAGATTTTTTTTATTTTATTTTTTCAGTTTATAGTCGATTGATGTGATGGATACAATATCGTTCTTACAGTTTGATCTCATGTGGTGTTTTAAAAAAATACACACACACATCAACTCTTTTTCGACTTGTTTTTCTTGTCGGCATCATCATTGTTTGTTTTTCTAAGACTAGTTGGAAGAAAATCAGCAATTTGATTTCATTGAAGTATATTTTTTTGATTCGATGCGGGAGTGAATGCACGTGCACATTAGATAAATTTACCTATGATTTTCTTTTTTTTATGATATGATGAATAGAAAATTTTGAGAATGCTGATGGCTAATCTATTTGACAGGCAATTATCAATTGGACTACACATACTTTCTTCTTGTTTTTTTTTTTTTTATTACACATTGATTTTGATGATATTAAAAGCAATACATCTTAACCCATATGTGTGAAATCTTTTGTTGTTTTACATTTTTTTTTCTTTCTCTCTATTATCAATTTAAACAACGGTTTGCTAATATGACATCGATTTAGGACAAAAAATTATCTCAACATATATTTTAAAATCGAATATATTTAGACTGAAACAGTGATATGGTAATATATTCCCAGCTAGTTGTTTTGATGATGCATCGTACGATTGTAAACGAGAAACAGATGTAGTGCTGAATGGAAAAAGACAGAGGGCATATAGTAACAATGTAGGGATTCTATTTCATTTCTTGCCTGCAGTGTATATTGACCTTTTATTTTATTTTGTTTTTTATGTGTAACAGCATTGAAGGATTTAGTTGAAATGAGGTGGAGAAAAAAATATCATGTGGAGTTAAACGAGAGCCAATTACTCGTATGCAAGCTGGGAAAGATTCGGCGAGTACAGTTGTTTGTTTTATGTTTGAACAACGATAGATGTAGCAAAAATAGTTCTACCATTAGGCAATTAATATTAACTGAATAAAGTTGAAGTAGTATTATTCTAAATTAGATAAAACTTTCCATTTTATTGGATATATATATTTACAGATATTAGCTATGATATCTCCGAGAAAAACAGTACGTTTCGTAGACTTAGATAATTCTCTTATACAAAGATATGTATTGGAATGTACTATGTGTGAATGTGAAGTTAGATTTATTGGATAGAGCTGTCAGGCTGTTAGAACTCTCCGACAATTGAATTTTTATTCGAATCCGCTATTCAAAAAGCAGGCCTATTTCAATTTCAATAATACTAGCTGATATATGATGCTTGGATAATATTTTCCAGTCATTTTTGTTTGAGCACTGAAGATCGATTATAAAATCAAGCATAAGTCACTTTTAAAAGCATATATCTCCATCAATTGCATCTGGCTTCACATTCAGACAGCATATCTCAAACAGCTTTATTCGAATAAATGGTTCTATAATTTTGATCAGTAGTATATATGCCGTACAGCTGTACACTTTATTATTTACTGATGAAGGGACATGCCGAAGTGTCTGATCGCTTTTTGATCGAGATTGTACTCAGATGATAGACTATGATGAGTAACATCAAAGCCTAAGATGATTCGATTGCCTCCATCTTTGCTCTTGCGGTAACGAATTTTTATTGGACTTTTTAATTGAAACCTATGTTCTCCTTAGATCAGCATGAAAATCAAATTTTGAGTTTTGAATTGAAGCTTTCCACAAAAAGAACTCTCAACGACACTAGTTCACTATGAGAGTTTCATTGATTTAAGTGCTTCACATCCGGAGATATTAGTATATGAATAATGATTGCTTTTTTATTAGAAAGTTTTTATCATTCATATCTCAAAGTAGGACATACAAAAATCAGTTAAACTTTCGCCATGAACTAGTATCATTGAGAGCTTTATTTTGTACAAAATTTTAAGTCAAAACTCGATATACGATTTTCATTATGATACGAGGAGGACCATATGAATCGATTAAAAAAATCTAGTAAACATTTTATATGTTAAGAACAAAGGTTTACACTACTGAACTATCTTAGACTTTGGCACTAATCACTATAGTTTACCATCTGAGTAGTTCAAATACAGATAGTAATTTTAATAGTTAATGGAATTTTCTAAAACAACTGAACACAGCAGTTTTCAGGTGCCAAAAGTTATTTTTTCATAATGTCATTTTAAAAAGTACAAAATTGTAAACAATATTAAGAATCACCGCATTTTCTATGACTTTCCCTTAAACAGTTAAAAGTATCACAAAATTCATAAATAGAAACGAAATTTAATAAAAAATTGTTCCGTTTTTTTGTGGTGGCTTCAACTTTTGAAGGAAAGACCTAAGAAATGTGATGACCCTTCATTTTGTTCAAAATTTTATGCTCTTTAAAATGATATTGTTAAAAGAAAGCTTCTATGATCTAAAAACTACCACATTCGGGTTTTTAAAAACTTCATCATCCCAATTCATCTATGAAATCTTAGTATAGAAAACTGCATTAACTATTAAAATCACTATCTCGATTTGAGCTAGGTACTTCACATTATAGAAAAAAAATAATAAAGACGAGATTGTTGTTAAACTTTTTTACACTAATTTATTATACCATCTGTAGATATATACATTTTGCAAAAAAAATGATTTGATATTCTAATTCCATACGAAGTTCTCTATCAGATTGTAATTTTGACGTTTTTAACATGCAGTTATTTCTTGATTAATATTTGTACATGATACCTCATATCAATCGGACTCGTTTTTATTGTATAATATTTTAGTACAATTGCACATTTTATTGATGGCATCGAAAAAAAAAATGGTTTCCAGATGTCTGAAATTAGGCTTGTGTCATTTCGTAGCGTTTACTGAAAGTAAGTGAAGTCTATAATAATGTATCCGTTTATTGTTCTCGTCTTGAGTTATGACAATTATATTGATTTTTTAAGATAATGTAGATTATGTTGTCATTTCGATCGCAAAATTTTGATCATAAAAACGTCTTAGAAATTTTAGCTTACATAATCACGGTAAAATTAGTATATGTACAAGCGAAGAAAATGCGTGCTATAGAAAATACTTTAAGAATGAATTCTATTAATTTATAATCTATACGAGGTAATATATGAGAACAGAATGCTCAATTGGTCGGAGTATTCGAGAGAAAAAGTTGAAAGAATGCAAAGTGTCGTCTTTTTGAGCTTTTTTTTTCACCTTATAGTAGTTATCCACAATCACACTTAGAAAATGATTAGTTGGATGCATCTTCGACCCATACAACACATTTTAACGACAAAGTGACTATAGTTTAATTTAGACTCTGTGAGAATCTAAGCAACAATCGAAACTTTTTGTTTGTATGGCAAACGAAAGAGAGCAATTGAATGCCTATGTAGAGCTTTAAAAAACAATTCGTCATTGGAAATGAAAAATTTCGGAATTAGCAAAATAACATTGAATGGAATGTAGTTTTTCCATGCAAATACGAAATATTTCATTAAAGTAAATCGACTAACGAGGGAACCTCTTCCGATTTCAATGTTGTTTTTCTATTTATAGCTGTTATATAGTGTTCTAATAGAAAACACTAGATAGATTTGAGTTCCCATTGAAATTTGACTAAGCTGTCAAGTTTTTATCTAGAAACCGTAGATTTTCGTAAAACTTATATTTTTGAATTTTGATCTGAAAACTTGCGTATGTACAGAACTCAACTAGAGTAACTTCAATAAAAAATTCACATATATCGAACACAACGTCTTTTCGATATATAAGACTTTCAAGATATAGAAGCTTTTCCATGGATAGTATATACAACATATATTTTTTCATAGCATCATATCTCGAAGAGATTTTGTTCAAAACTTATGAATTGTTTTTATGGAAGCTAGTCTAGTTGAATTTTCTATATACGCAAAGTTTCAGATCGAAATTAAAAAAAAAACGAGTTTTCCGAAAAATCTGGAACCTCTACAAAAGAAAATTCGATAGTTTTGTCGCATTTCGATAGAAATACAAATCCTTTTTGGAGTTTTTATATGCAGTATCTATAGGTGAAAAATCATTGAAGTGAATAGCTGAAGAGGTTTCCTCGTTAGTGATTAGTTTACTGGTCAATAATAGATTGATATCAATTTGCTTTACTCTCCTGATATTCAGTTATTTTTCGTATGTTTGCTACCATCAACAAAAGGGATGGTGCTATTGAGTAATTTATATCATGTTTTTTTCTTCTGGGAAAAAAACTTTTCTATCGCCGACTATTACATGAAACTTTTATTATGAAATATAATTATATATTACATTAGTATTGAACACAGTAATTTATTTGTAAATTTGTTTTTCTTCATATTACTAGAAGAAATTACTTTCTTATGTTTTATGAATACATAATACAACGATTCCATAGAGATAATTATATCTGTGGCAATGATTACAGAAGCATTGATAATGTTAGGCTATCTATCTAACTTTTAGCATTTCGTAATAAAGTATTTATAAAAGTTCATGATCGATTATTCGAATATGTAAATAAATTATCGATAACAGACGATCATATAATATGAGTTAATTCGTTCATCAATAAAATATGAAGTCAAAAATTCTGCAGATGCTTCCGAATATAATTTCCTGTTAACAAAAATTTTTCTTTGCAGCTGCAGTTATTTGTCAATTAAAAAAATATCAAAAACTAAACTCAATATAAAAGATAATCATGATCATATGTTATATTATATTTACACATAACTAATATCTAATATTATACATATAGAAATTTTCATATAATATTGAAATGTGATTATATGTATTTTCTTCCTATTAAAACTTTATTTTGTAATCATTTACACAATATGTTTGTCTTGATTGTCTTTGTCTTATGTTTTTTCATGATGAGAAATAAGAGACTGAAGAAATACAATAAGTATGCTTTCTATCAATCATTGTTATATATGTTTGATATTGATGGAGAGAACTTCTTAAGTACATCGACCATATGTTGTTTGTATCAATTTTTGTTTCTTCTCATCGAATCAATTGTACAATAATCACTTATCAATATATTACAATAATATATTTATGCGCTATAGATTAAGTCTAAATTCTCATGCATTAGTTATTTTATTACCGAAAATAACTTAAGCCCTGATTTGTGTTCATTAATTGTAGGATATTTACCATAAGAGAAATGAAATAGAAATGTTTTGTTTTTTTGTTTATTTCCAATATTCGAATGTTAAAAAAGATCTATATTGTTATCAAAGGGTATTGACAACAGATATTATCCTTATACAAGGTTAAACAAAAATGGCAAAAAATCAGGGTCATGAAACCGCTGTTTTCCATAAGCTCATAAAACAATGAAAATAGTAGGAGAAGCGATAAGCTCTTGCAAGCGAAAAAAGAAACGGGCTGACCGATGACAACGAAAATTAATACAGTAAACTTCCGTTTCCGACGACCGGAATAATCGCCTTGAGATATTGTATATTTAATTATTGAGTTCTAATAACGACAATGATTGTAATAACATTTTCGATTGTTACATTTTAACAGATGATTCATATTGTTTTATGTCGAAGTATTAGCAATGTTTGTTATGTTTTTTCGATTATATCTTTAAGCATGTCTATGAATATAGACACACGTATAAAAATATTGTTGTTTACGTCTAGTCTTGTATACATAGCTTTGAACATTATATATTTGTTGGTACAATCCTTCAACATCACACGGTTCGTTGAACGATAAGACTAACTGAACAATGATAATTGTTGCTATTGACCTTTTTCTTTCTTTTTCTTTTTCTTTTTCTCTTGTTGAGTTCTTTTAAATTTGTATTAAGATTAAGTAAAAATAGAATGTATTTCTTTTCGAGTTTAGAATACGTCGCGACATGATCTCTAGTCTTTCTTTTGTATTCTATATTGTAAAATCGACGGAAGATTTCAAGGAGTGATGATGGTGTGTAGAAGATAATCAACACCCACTAAAGTCAATTTAACTATGTTGCATGATGAACGTATGGGCACATATAAGGATATATATATATATGTATGTGTACTCTCTTTCTTGGCACGCAAGCATTACAAGGGTCAACGATCTTCTTCAACTCGTGTCCTTCTCTTTCTTCATACATAAGATGAACTATGTAGTAATGCGTCTGTATATCATTTCTTTTCTATCTTGTTTACATGTAAGCTATTCTTCTTCTTGTCTTGCAGATGTTAATGGTCATTATAATAGAAACGATGATCTTTTTCACCTATGTCGATTTCTTAAGTAAATAGACTTTCACGAGTATTACACGTTGATTATTGAAGAGCTCAAGGTAAGGCATGAAGAAAATGCAAAGAAAGAACAAAAAGAAAAAAAAAGAAGAAAAACGATTAGTATCAATCAGAATTAATAGTACTTTTATTTCATTTGAACAAACAAAAAAAAAAAAATGAAATGTAAAGAAGTTATGGCGCATATTCTTTTCGATACAATGCCTAGTTGGATAAAATATCATAATGAGAAAGATATTCGAATCGTTCGAAAGGTAATTATATACATAAATATTTTCACATATCGATTAATTTTCATGAACTATTGTTGAGTTCATTATTTCAATAGATAATCTTTTACTCGTGCTCAATTCAAAGCTCAATATATTTACTAAACCTTGCCAATTTTGAACATCAAACTTTCGTTCTCTATGTATTCTTTTCTTATAATATACAAACAAATTTAGACTAGCTGGTGCACATACAAAAGCATTTATATATTACAACTCGATGATGTAATGAGAATTGATTGAATCATTGAGCAGGGATAATATATTTATATTTGCCTTCTCGCGTTTATTAGTAATCTCCTTTTTTCTTTTTTCCTCATGAATAATCTATTGAAATACAAACAAGATCGGCTGTTTTTTAATAGCTAATTGTAAATTTTTAGGTATATAGTATTGGTGATTTACGGTACATTAACGATTACGAACAATTTTCATCAACTATGTCGAAATCACCAATTGAAAAAATTAAACATCATATCTCATCATCATCCAATTTGACGTTAAGCAATAATACAATGTTGACAAGTACATTTGGAAAGTTGTTAGTTCGAGTAAGTGTAGTCCAATTAAATACAAATCACCGGTCTTAACTAGCCATTACAGTTTGATGCCATCGGAGGCTTTTTTTTTTCTTTCTTATTCTTTGACCGGTATGGTCTTATTTCCGCAACGACCATATAGAATTCTCGAAGAAGAAAAAAAAGAAAGAAAAGAAGAATTGCTTTTCGATTAGTAAAGTACAATAGAAAGCAGATGTTCACTTGTACATTTTGCCTAATAGACATAAAGCAGAACAATATTCTCTTGACTCTTTATGTAATCATTAGAAATTAACACATCGTTCAATAAGAAACATAACAAAAAGTACAAACGATTTGAATAGTAATTGTGAATGGTATGATTCTTCAATAGTAGAAAATAATATGATATCAAAAGAAAATATACAATTTATTGAACGAATTGGTGAAGGAAAATTTGGCATTGGTAATTTTCAAATTTAGTTAAAGAAAATAAAACTTTACTTCTTTTTTTTTTTTTTTTTTTGTATATATTTAGTTTATAAAGGTTTTTATAGAACAAAAGAAAATGAAATAGTGAGTGAAATGAATAAAAAAAAATAATTTATTCGAATATATTTATATTTTAATATCTAGTTAACTGTTGCTATTAAAAAATTAAATCATGAGTTTAACTATGATGATATATCAAAAGAAGTATATAATTTTCAAGATGTTAAACATCCACATATCGTTCAATTTTTTGGTATTATTATTGATACTGATAATTCAATTATGTTTGTAAGTTAATTAAAATAATAACAAAAAAAAAAAATTTAATGCGCATAAAAGATAATTTAGATAAGTGAATATGCACATGCAAAGTCACTTTATGAATGTTTAATATTAACAAATGCTAAATATGTATATTCAATAGAAATTTTACTTGAATATTTAAAACAAATAATATCAGCAATGAATTATTTAGAAAAGAAACTTTTAACTCATCAAAATTTATCTTGTCGAAATTTTCTTGTTTTTAATAAAACACTTGTAAGTACTTTAGAATTTTAATATGATATAAATAATAATCATTTATTTTTTTTCTTAATTTAGATTAAACTTTCAGATTTTGGTTGTGGGAATTGGAATACATTATGGAAAGATAGATTAAAACTACCAATAGCATGGATGAGTCCTGAAGCAATATATGATCATTGTTTTACAACAGCGTCAGATGTTTTTTCATTTGGTGTTTCAATGTGGGAATGTTTTAGTTATGGAGAAATACCATGGAAAGAACTGACGAATGAGGAAGTAAGATTTAACTGAATTATTTTATTGAAAGGACAAATATCTAAAGAGAAGATGTTTAGAAATTGAGAAGAGTTTTTTTTTGTGCATGTGCTATTCATAAATAGATGTCCGTTATAATGAATTTTCACATTCTTTTTTTTTTCTGTGTAAATCCCAATGGAAATCTGTCAGACAACAAGAAAATTTTCTTTTTTTTTTTTTTTCTCCATTAAGATTGCCAATGCTATCAATACACCCAATCATCAACGACTATCAAGGCCAGCTTATGCTACATCTGAATTGTATCAAATAATGCTTCATTGTTGGAAATATGAACCATGTGAACGTCCAACATTTTCTCAATTAGAAAAAACATTACGAGACGTATAAAAACGATGTCTAGAAAAAAGAATTATCACGATAATTATTTGTTCATCTTTCAGATTGAATTCAAACAAGTACGATGGAAAGAAAATAATAATAATAAATCAATAAATTTACCTGATGGTTTTCTTTCAATAGAATCCTGTCGACGTGGACCATTAACAATTCTCGATCGATGGTATGTACATCCGATTTCAACAGCTTAACATATATTATTAAGAACAAAAAAAAAAAAAAAAAACGAAAGAAATATGATGTGCATAAGCATTCATATTTGAGACTCATTGTTACATAAACATACCTCTTATTTCTTCTAGTATATATTTAAGTGAGCAAATAGATCAGGGCCATTTATTTTATCATGCAATGCTCTACCTTTTCTACTTACTTTCATCGATTAGTTTATAAATCAATATGTTATTATATCCTTGAATAGGAATGTTAATGTTCTTATAAGAAAAAAAAAAAAAAAACAGTAAAAAATATTAAATTTGAACATTTTCATATTTATTCTAGTCTTCACATTCCTGATTCGTCGTCATCAATTAATAATTTTCTTCAATGTGTCTCAATCGATGGTCAAATTGGTTTTGTTTATAATAGTGACGTTGAGCCATTACACGTAATATCTATTTCTAAGCAACGTATTACTACTCCGCCTAATTCCGCATCATCAACAATGAATTATATATTTCATCGAAAAATAGGTAACACAATATTTTTCTCATTATTTTAATCAAAACAATAGTTACAGAAGGTTTATCTTAGAAGCAGACTTAGATATGATGTTTGTTCTCAATGATATTTACATCGATAAGGTTTGCATGATCATCTTAACAAAGAATATTGAAACACACAATAGGATAGATATAATAACGTATACATTCAATGAAAGTTCATATTTAACAACAAATACATCATGATTAGAGATGTATGGAACCAATATTTGAAGATTTTTTCGGGACCGGGACTACCAAAAACTATTGTGATCGGAATCCTCAAAATTGAAATTATTGGGACCAGAAACAAAACAAATCCCGCATATTTCTAATCGGAATTTTAAGCAAGAAATAAAATATGTCAATAGAGCGATTTTTATGTGTGATTCGTTTTGAAAAGTAAATAGAAATTATGGTTGATTGTAATGAAAAATCAATTTTGATTAGAATTTCTTGATATTCGAAAATATCGTTGATTTCATTTAATCTGTTTTCATGTAATTCAGTTCTGATATTGTATCTTCTTTCTTAGGCATAAAGAGAAATGCAACAAAAACGAAATGTAAACCAATTTCGAAAGATATGATCAGTTCACCTCAATCAGATTTTATTCATGCATGTCATATCGGAGTAACAGGTAAATATATACTAAAAGATATTCAATTAATCAAAAATATTCTATTTCTTTTTTTTGTTTTTTTCAGATAAAGTCTGTGATGATATGACTTCTCTTATTGATATTAAGAAAACTGACGTAATGATTGAACCAATTTCAGCACACTCAACTATCAATTCTATTGAACAAGAATCAGTATGATTTTTATTAAATTTTCTATTTTTGTTTTTTTTTTCAAAAATTATATTTTTATTTGTTTTTTTAGAATCAGGAACAAACTTCATCTTTACTCGATGAAGTTATGCAAGCATTTACAGAAATTTATTCTGAAACAGAATCAAAATCTTTATCAGAAGATAATTTACTAATAAGATCATCATCATCATCATCATCACAATCTCCAAAAATAAATGTAAGCTATAATTCATTTAAAAATTAATGATAATCAATAAAATAAAAAAGTTCATCTTTCCAAATACTTCATAATATCTTATTAGTTTTCTTTTTATTGTTTAAATATGGTCTTTATAACTCTGCAAAAATATAAATGATTCAACATAATTATTATGACATGCAAGTTTTTTAAAAGAGATCATTAAATTTTACCTCATTATCCATATGATTAGACACACATACTTAAGCTTTTTTCTTTAGTTGTTAGCCATGCGTCATGGATTTTTCACTCTCAATAATCTATGAGATTACTCAGCTTATGGACTTTCCTGTCCTGTTATTGCTCTATATTTAGTTATTAAATTATTTTAAACATAGTGACATATAGCCATGGATCGTAATGTCCTTCAAAATTCCGTTTAGACAAAAAAAAATGACATCCTGCAGTGATTTGTCAGGATGCTGTGATTCGTGTATAATATAATTATATGGCACTTTAACTTTCAAGGTTAAATGAAAGTAAACAAGGGTTTTTTCATATACACTATTAAAGCTGAAAATTTTAAATAGGATAGATGAATAAAATTAAACTTTTCAGATTTCATTTATTAATAAACATTAAGAAAATGTAAAGTTTTATGTTAAAAAACAAAAAGATACATTAATCTTTTAATCAAAGTTAAATTGGCATATCAAATAAACTACAAATGGATTTAAAATCTCAATTATTTATCATAGCAAAAACGAAAAATACTCACTAAATGCTTCCTAATCATTCTATATCATTGATGAATCTTTTTTTCTGATTATAAGTTTAGTACCTTACTTTTATACAATACTATTAGATCTATATAATAAAATAAATGTCTGTGACATGAAAAATCTTTTATCATATGAGCATTTCCTTGTCTTTAGTTTCAACCGTCATCTGTCAATATAAATCAATATCCATCAGTTACCATAACAGGTAAACAAAAGATGTTTTCTATTTTTGATTAATCAAGATTATTATTTTAGATTCATCATCACTTACTTGCTTCTTATCTCAATTACAAATAAATAAATCAAATGAATTTGAAGAACATTCACGAAATGGTTTGTAATGTTTGATTTATTGTCAATTTCTTTTTCGTTCTATCATGTTGTTTTTTGTTTATTTATTAGGTGATCTCAACGAACAAGGAAAACATATATATAATTCATCATGTTCATCATCAACACATGATGAACCTTCATCTTCATCATCATATAATCAAGAAAAATCTGATTCTCATTCACATTATTCATCTGTATCAACAGATAATGATGATAATCATTCAATAATTAGTTTAAATTCACGATCATCATTAATAAATAAAACAAAACAAGAACATTCAATAACAGGACAACCTTTACCACCACCACCAGATTTATCAAGTTTAGGAAGTAAATTAACAACTGCAACAATGAAACATATTTTTGAATTACCACCAACATTAACATCAAATAAATATCGAAGAAAAAGTATGAATTGTCATTGATTTTAAGTTGAGCTGAAAAAAAATTTATTTAAAAAAAAAAAAAAAAAAACAATTACAGAACATTTCTCTTCACAATAAAGTATTTCCTGTTTTATCAACACATTTTTTTTTTCCTTAACAATGCCAGAATTTTCTTGAAGAACTCTTGTATTAGAAAGAAAAGATATAAATCAAACAGTAATACACTATCAAACATCCTTAAAAGAATCGTTACCATCAATAGAAAAGTCAAAAAAACACTTTCGATTAACAGGTTTATTTATTGAATTTCTCTACTACCACATACGGAGTGAACGATTGGCATGACCAACTGAATTTAAATATTGCCACTTTCACTCAAACTTATATTTAATGATTGACTAGTTAAATAATGGCTATGCATTCAACATGCTACAATGAAACATATTTTTCAAAATCAAGGAATTCTTGATTTAATGAAATGATATTACAAATACGGTTTTTTTTTTGTCTTTAATAAGATAAATAAAACATTACAATAATTTTCTCTAATATAAATTGATATTTATTTATCTTCATAAAATATTGCTGAATAAAAAATGTGTTGATGAAACGTGACCAGAATAAAAAATAAACTTTTTATTATAAATAAAAGAAGAGAATACAGAGTGGAAAAAGACTAGATTTCTTCTATTCGAATCGAATATAATAGAAAATAAAATTTGCAAGAAAGATTCTGTTTATGTCTAATCTATATCTATTGAAATAGTCCCATATGGGAATTAGTTTTCATGACTTAAACAATAGAAAAAAAATATATAATAATAGTTGACATGTCCGGTACAATAAAAGCTATGGAATAATCTACTTAATATTTTGTTCGAAACATTTGTATCATAGTATTACCAATTTTAGAAAATGCCAACGAGAAGAACTTCTATTTCAAGAATAAACAAAGTTTCTAATCTTTATGATGAACAGCATTTTTGATTATGAATATTTATTGAATTGAAGATATTTATTATAACCATTTCACTTAGCATTTCTATGCATCTCATAGAAATCTTTTATTATGATCAAAGCAACCTTTTACAGTTAATGGATTTTATTTGTTTAAAGAGATTTAAATGGAATATTTTTAAGTGCATTGTTTTTTTTTCTTTGTCAGAAAAGAAACAAATGAATCTTGACGTTTTTTTATCGTTTTAGAGCGATTCAATCTCTTTGCTTAATATATAGATCTTTCTCAAATTAATCGATATGCCTCAAATGTTTGATCAACTAGTCAAATGAATTTTGTTTTGTGTTGTTCCGTCCGGAGTTTCGTGACAAAACTATTCAAAGTTTACATTGACAATAACGATAATTAACATTGACTTTTTTTTTTGGTTTCTTTGTCTTTATATTTTTTCTAATTTTTTTTTTTGCTCTCTTCTATTATTGTACTAAAATGTCTACGAACAGTAAATTATGTTCATTTACTGTCATTGTGTTTCCTTATAAAATTAACAAAAGCAAAAACCTATAACTAACGAAGCTCAATAAAATTATGCAAATGAAAATAAAAGATGCTAATCTTTTGACATATGGAAAATAAAACAATAATTTTTCTTTTTTCATCTAACTATGGCTCGATAAAGAAAAAGATAAATACAAGCTTCGTATTATGACAGAGATAAAGGAAATCTTTAGACAAATATCAAGGACGTCAAAATTATAAATAGAATGTCAATCTAATGTAAGAAAGATATAGTCTACAACAGACGAAAAAAAGATTGGCGTATAGAACAGCAAAAAAAAAGTCCGCTCTCGACAGGAAATCGACATCATAAAACGCTGGCATTATTATTCATCATTTCATTCGATTTCTCGTACATCAACAAGTAACGTTTGCAAATAAGCACAAACCATGTGCATTGTACGTAGGTGTAACTGCGTAGATTTGAGTTTTTTTCCACAAGAAAAAAAAAATGTATTTTTCAATTGAAACGTATTAATTAATATTTCTTATGAAAACTAATAAATTACATTAATAGAAAAAAATGCTAATAAGCTTTGAGTTATTAAAATTTCTTCGTACAGGAAAATATATAAGAACTTATAGCCGATCAATGAATCATAAAATCATGCATAATTAATAAGTTTTATTTCTTTTTCAGCCCGATATTTGCCCATGTTCTGATTCAATAGACATATGTCTCTGTTGTATTCCACTCGATTTACTCTGCTGCTGTTTACCTTGTTGTCGACCACGGTAAATACATTTTCTTGTAACTATAATATTCAGTAAATTTTCTTTTTTTTTTTTCTACTTCAGTGAACGAGTCGTCTATGTGCCTACAGCTCAACCCATGTATGCCCAACAAGGTTATCCTTATGTTGTAAGAGAGCCTAATGCGCGTTATTAAAGCCCTAATCAACGAATATTGTATAATGAGAAGAAATAGCTTTTTGTTTTTTTTGGCTCTAGTCTTTAGACATGTTCTTTTTTTTTTGTTTATTTTTTCATCAAATGCTCTTGAATATATAATTATATATCAAATAAATTTATGAACAAGTTTTTTTTGTATAACAAATTTAGTGTTTATTGATAATAAAGTTCAATGTTCATGCCATCATGAATTTCTACAATAAAAGCAAAAAATAAATAAATAGACAAAAACTAGACTAAGTTCACAAACCGTAATCAGCAAGAGTGATATTGTCTTTGTATATATTATCTAAATTAAATCAAAATTTTCTATATAGATTTTCATTTCCGTTACTTCAATAAATTAGCCCAAAAGAATAAATATGCAGAGTTTCATGAAAAAATTAATTAATTATTAAAATGAATGCTTTCAAGAAAGAAAAAAAAAAAAAAAACAAGACAAAGAGGAATTTTCATAGTTGTCGATTAATCAAAGAAAAAAAATGATATGACAAAGAATTTCATTTGTTATTCATAAACACAAAACGTTTCAATTAGATATGTACGAGATTAGAACAAAAGAATATTGTTTATTATAATTATTAGACCGATTTTTAAGTATTATTAATGTTTACAATTCATGTGATGAATTCACCACCTGCGAAATAACAAAAAAAAAAAAAGCCAGACTTTTGTAATACTTACACCACTTCTTTAAAACAATTTTTTCAGATTTTGTACCAGTTTGAGCAGCAATCAATTTTTTTAGATCACCAATAGTATCATCAGGATTACATTTAACACGTACTTTTTTACCCAAACGATCGTTACAAATAATTTCAATCATTGTTTTATGCGTTAATTAACAAACAAAAACTTAGATGCAACGAAAGAGCAATACCTATTTGAAATTGATATCTATTGGTTAATATAAATAAACCAATCGTAATCATTGTTATTGTTTATTTACTTCAGAGAAATTTCCCATAGATTATGATAACTTTTATACACGAAAATAGTGTTCTTATTTCAATAATTATTATTATATATTTTTTTTTTATAATCAAATAATAAGTGTGCATTCGTGTGTTTTACTAGCAGCCATTCTATACTTTCTTTTTCTTCCTGTCTATGAGTGGTTCGGCATCGTCTTGAGTTTACTTGCTTGCTCTCTACAATTACTGTTTCAGCAACTGCTGTTTCTTCTTCTTCTTATTCTTCTTCTTCTTATTCTTATTCGTCTTTTCTTTGCTCGATCTGTCTTTCTCTCTCCACCTGAATCGACAACAGAGTCGGTTTCTGTGTGTGTGTGTGTCGTCGACCAGAAATAACCTTCTTCTATAGTCGCTTCTTCTGTTGCTCCCATTGCTACATCACGACTAGATTGTTATTGCGACAAACGACGATAAGAACGGTCTTCTTCGTTTTGTTGCGTTTATATAACGCATGCTTTTAGCATACTTATATTGAACTGATATATGCTTTTAACTAACAATGATGATGACCCAACGTCCACCTCCTTCTATTTATTCAGTTTTATATAAACTATCAACATCAATATTATTTGATTTTCTTCTATTATCTGTATGAAATATAATAATACACTATTTAACAAATTTTTCAATACTATTAATAATAATACAAATAAGAATAATACCAACAACAACAACAACAACAACAACAACAATATCATCACCAATCCTACCAATACTAATATCAACAGCAGTAATAATAATACGAACAATATAAAGGTCTCCCCTACAACAACAACATCTACTATCAACATGGCTGCTGTTTTAAATAATACACCAATATCAAATTCAATTGTAACATCCACTCGTTTTACTGATGAATATGATCTTAAAGAAGAACTTGGCAAGTAAGTAATTTCTATAGGATTGTTTTTCTTTTTCTTTTCATTTTTCATATTTTTTTGATTGACGACATGAATAAATGTAGAAAAATGATTGACTACCTCTCTTGAGTCCAGTTTTATATTTACATAGACAGTCGTGTCGTCCTCGTCGTTTTCTCGAATTGTACGACTCCTTTCCCTTCTGATTAATCGTGCTTGCATGTCGCGGATATTATTTTCCCCCTATTCTGTTCATCGTTGTTCCCGTCAGCTCTCGTATTCATATTTTGACCTCATCATTTTTACTAAAAAAAAAAAAAAAACTGACTAACCAGCCTAGATGAATGAATGAAAAAAGCCGATCATCATAGATAGATGCACTGTTGTATGTTGTTGTTCAAGACTTAGACCAAACGTATATTATCATAATTGAGGGAACGACAAAAGCAGGAAGGAAAAAAGAAAACGGCATTATCATCAAACCAACACTCGTCTTGCTACAACTAGTTCAATTAATTGTTTGAATATAGAACAGGGCAAAAATAGAAAAGATCTTCTAAAAAAATGTTCATCCATATAGAAGTGGTAACAAGAGGAAAAGATGTTTGTGTTGTTGATAGTAACTCTTGCTCATGGGAAAAAAAAACAAAGAAATGCGCGCGCGTGCATAGCAAAAAGAAATTTATGAATAATGAATTCCAATCAATTAGATGCAGTAGCAATTTATCTATTGATCATTAGTTTTTTTTTTTTTTTATATTTTGTTTTTTCAGAGGTGCATTTTCAATTGTACGAAGATGCTTTCAAAAAAGTTCTGGACAAGAATTTGCTGCAAAAATTATTAATACAAAAAAATTATCTACACGAGGTAAGAAAATAATTAAAAATTTTTATTAAGGAAAAAAAAAAATGAATAATATAATCTACTTTTATCTAGACCATCAAAAACTTGAACGAGAAGCTCGTATATGTCGACAATTAAAACATCCAAATATTGGTAAATTTTATTTGTTCATTCTTATTTAAATGTTTTCATTATTTGTATATTTACAGTCCGCCTTCACGATAGTATTTCTGAAGAAGGATTTCATTATCTTGTTTTTGATCTGTAAGCTGATTATTAGAAAATATTTTTATATTATTATTTTTTTTTCTCGTGTAGAGTTACTGGTGGAGAACTATTTGAAGATATTGTTGCTCGAGAATTTTATAGTGAAGCTGATGCCAGGTAGAATAGTTTCATATCTTTTGTTTTTATTTTCATTTCTTTTGTTTTAGTCATTGTATTCAACAAGTTCTTGAAGCTGTACGACATTGTCATGAAAGTAATATTGTACATAGAGATTTAAAGGTAAGAAAATTGACTATAATTTTCAATATTTACTATTTCTATTGTATTTTGTAGCCAGAAAATCTTTTACTTGCAAGTAAAACAAAAGGAGCAGCTGTTAGTAAGTAAAACTAAACGCAGAAATAAATTTTCTTGTTCTTTTTGTTTTTTGTTTTGCAATAATATAATAAAATATTTTTAAAAAAAATCTTTTCTTTTTTAGAACTTGCTGATTTTGGTCTTGCTATTGAAGTAAATGGTGAACAAACACAGTGGTATGGTATGTATCTCATGTGATATCTTTGTTACGTTAATAGCTAAAAAGAAAATGATTAAAAAACTAATAAGAATGATTTCTATGAAAGATAATAATATTTTTTTTTTCTTTTCATATAGGTTTTGCTGGAACGCCTGGTTATCTTAGTCCTGAAGTGCTCAAAAAGGAACCTTATGGTAAACCAGTTGATATCTGGGCATGTGGTAAATTTAATATAAATGTCAAAAAACAAGGAAAATTCTTTTCTAATGAATTTTTTTTTCTTTTGTATTTAGGTGTGATTCTTTACATTCTTCTTGTTGGTTATCCACCATTTTGGGATGAAGATCAGCATAGATTATATAATCAAATTAAAGCTGGAGCTTACGATGTATGATTTTTTTTTTGAAAGAAAAATCTAATAAACAATAGAATATTTTCCTTTTTTTTTTTAATACTTGTTCAATATATATTTAGTATCCATCACCTGAATGGGATACAGTTACAACTGAAGCTAAACGTTTAATTGATTCAATGCTTAATATCAATCCGAGCCGACGTATTAGTGCTACAGATGCATTAAAACATCCATGGATTTGTGTAAGTTATTAAATAAATACAAAAAAATGAAAAACATCAAGCATTAACTATATATACAATCTTTTCCTCTCAATCGATTATATTTGCTCATATATATTTTTTTATGGTCCATTCACCGTTTTGTTTGCTCAATGAATGGAGAAGAATAAGAGAAAAAAAATGTTGATGTCTCGAGAATGTTAATCGAACTGACTATATGACAGAATAGAAAATCTTAGTTGTATGTCTCTGGCAATTTTTCCTTTCTTCCATCTCTTTTTTTGAAGGGAGTTGTGATAGAAGGAAAATGATCAGATCTGAAGTTCAAGCTTTCGATTAAAAGAAATCGTTTTCTTTTTTCTTTATTTTTTAGCAACGAGAACGAGTTGCTGGTACAATTCATCGACAAGAAACCGTTGATTGTTTACGTAAATTTAACGCACGTCGAAAATTAAAGGTAAATAACTTTGATATGATAGAAAGACGAAGGACAAAGAATGTATATAGTTGTTATTTTCTGTTCTGTCGATATCACATATTGAATAGAACGACAAAATGGTTATACTTGCTTCCGAGTGGGCTAACTAAATAATAGAGAAAAATCATTTAGATAGAATAACTGATTGAGAATAATAAACAAGAAATAGGGTTATACGATGTTCTTAGCTGTAGTCTGTTTTATCTGTTTTATTGTAAGTAGTCTTTAATTGAAGAGAAAAAAATCATTTTATTTTTATTATTATTATTATTATTATTCTTTAGGGAGCTATTTTATCGACAATGTTTGTTAATCGTACATTAATACCCAGTAAGTAAAACAATGGAGAAAAAAAAAACGCATAGTTAAACATAGATTTCCTGCATTTTATCCTTTCCGTAAATTTTCTATATTGCTTATTATTATATCGGACAATGCTTTGAATGTTAGTGTGTATGCGTGTGCATTTTTTTCTTAATAATTCACAAAATTTCACTAATGTACTTTTCTATCGTTAAATTTCAATATAATTTCTTTCGATGTAGATAACAATTTTAATTGAAAATTCATATTTCTATTCACAAGAAATATATATGATAATATTGATTATCTATAAATCATACAGCATTGAAAATAGACAATTAGATTCTTTCGTTTTTTTTTCTTTTTTCTTCTTTTATTGACATAAAAAAATACAACTATTAATATAATACCCATCTTCTCCCATTAGTTACAAAGGAAACAGTGTTTGCTGTTATATATGTGTTTTTCTTTGCCTGCATAGCAAACATCTTGTTTGCTGTTCTTAGTTCTACCCTATATTTGTTGTCATTATTTTTATGCAATCGCGTTTTTTATCCCATCCATCCTCCATTTTTTTTTCTTATACCAGCATAGCTTTTTCTGTCCTTCCAATAATATATTACTCCTTTTGATTTGGATATGTGGGTGTATTCGTTCTCTGCAAACTAAATAAATAGTATATGTGATCTTGATGTGTAAGATGCATGCAATTTTATATGGACAAATACTTTGACTGGAAATATCGTCGATGGGTCAATTTTTAGATTCAGCTGCACTTGCTAGTGCTTCTGGAGGAGGTGCGCAGACTGCAACTGATGGAAAAAAAACAACAGTGGCTACAACAAGTGGTGGAGCATCACCGGTTACAAACCTTGGTGTTTCGTCTGTAATGTCAGCTTTAGCTAGTGGAGGTACGCGCAATCGTTTAAAAAATAATATATAGATCTTTTCACTACTTGTCTGCTTTTTTGCATAATATATAACCATATAGTTCTACCTATATCTTGGGTTTTGTCCGATATAATTTTATTGGTGCAATATGCTTTGCTATCCTGCATTTGCTTCTAAAAACAAAACATAACAATAGATCCTTAATTTTTTGTTTTCAGGTAATCGTTCCCGACCGACAGCTCAAAGTGGTAATAGTGCTATTAAAGAATCTGGCGATAGTAATAGTGCAACAATTGACGATGCAAATGATAATGAACGAATTGATCGATTAAGTAAGCAATTAGTGACTTATATGTTATTTTTATAATAAAGAATAAAAAAATTTAAAAAAAGAAAAAAAAAAAGCACCAAAAACCTCTTCCGAAACTTTTACAGGTAAAGAAAACAAAAGCTCATGCGAATCGGTATTATCACCAATGACTGTTGATTTACAAGCTATAACAGCAGTCGAGATCAGTAAGCAAAACTAAACGAGAAAAATAGCTGCTAATCAACACTCAATGTTACGGTTATTTTCTGCTTCATTAATTAATTTCGAATTTGTCTTACGTAATTGAAATGAAAAGAAAGAATATTTTTGTTTATTTAGATTCAGAAATAACCAAAGTAACTGAACAATTATTACAAGCTATTGCTAATAGTGACTATGAGATGTATAAGTACGTGAAAAGAATTAATGAAACTTTTATTCAGTTATTATTATTATTATAGATCATTATGTGATCCGAAAATCACTTGTTTCGAACCAGAAACTATAGGCAATCTTGTTGAAGGTCTTGATTTTCATAAATTCTATTTCGATACAGGTACGTAAAAATAAAAAAACTAATTAAAGTAACAAAATTTACAGTTAACTCTAGTATATACATAATGTAATAGACAGTATTACACATGAAAAAAAAAGAAGAGATTAACAGTGATAAGATGTTTTCGAGGTAATTCATCAAATTTCAATATCGATTCAAATCGAGAACTTATCTACATTAATCATTATAAAAGACTATTTCATGTTTTTTTTTTTATTATCTCAAACAGAAGTAAGTTTAAAACTTGCAATCGAATTTTCGAATCTTATCTAGAGTATTATCTGTAAATTTTGTTACTTTATACAAGTTACTTGCTAGATGCAACAATAGTTTTCTTGTATAAATGCTTAAGTTTACTCGTTCTCTTTTTTCTTATATTCTTTTATAAAATACCTGAATATTTTCAGGGCGATTTGCTCGCTCCGATACAGGTAAAAGCTAATTTTTTGTTTTTTGTTGATGTATAATGTGGTGAATTTTGGTGCTTAATATATTCATTACTTTTCTTTCATGGATATTAATTTAATTATTTTATTTTTTTTAGTCTTATCAACTAAAGCAGCTAAACCAACAATTAATTGTACAATGTTAACACCTGTTGTACATGCATTAGGAGATGAATCAGCTTGTATAGCATATGTACTTCTTCTTCAATATATGGATCGGTATGATAGAAATATATTATATCAATATTATGATTATTTAAATTTTTTAGAAATGGTCAACCACAAAGTGTACGAACAGAAGAAACACGTGTATGGCATAAAAAAGATTCACGTTGGCAATGTGTTCATTTCCATCGTTCGGGTATGCCTGTTGCTACAGCTATAAAATCATCATTTCCTACATCATCAATGTAATTCTGTTCATTATCATCATCACTTTTTTTGATTATATCTGAGAGTGTGTGTGTGTGTATGTGTTCGTGTGATCAGTTGTTTACGGCCTGTCACATCAATACTTTGGTTTGTTTTTGTGTACCCTTTCTTTCGAATATTCATTCCTCTTTTCTTTAATGTTGTTTAAATGTCTTTGTTCTTTTTTTTTTTGTTTGTTTGTTTATTATGACCAAAAATAAATCATCAGTTTTGATTACCGCTATACCTCATATTCTTATTGTGCCTATATGACACTATGGATTTATCTTTTGTGAAAAAAAAAAAAAGTATTTATTCTATTTATTTTGTCTTTTGTATTTCTTTTTCTTGTTTGACAAAAAGACAAAGCAAGACGTTAATTAGGCCTCTTCTTATATGACAAGTTTATCTTTTTTTCTCTCTTTTTTTCATGTTTGTTGTTGTTGCTGCTCATACCTTTCTTTTTTTTTTTCATCTCCATTGCGTTGTGTGAAAAAAGAATTAATTACCAAAACGTATTTTTTTTTTCTTTTTGGCTTTTTGTCCTTTTTTTGTTTTTATCGTTCTTTGGATCAGTGATGATAATCAGAAGATTTACTTCTATTTCAAATGACAACAAATAAAATAATTAGCAAGAATTTTGAAGTATTTTATTTCGTACTATAATCAGTTTTATTTTGATATTCTTCAGTTGTAATTGATTATGAATGCTTCATATTTTGTAAAAGTTTGTGTAATAAATATAAATATTAGGAGTGTCACTTTCGTATTGCGTTTCTAGCAATGCAAACACGAGATAGGTGCTTGCTAGTAGTATTGATTATGCGTCATTTGTATATCGAGTCCAACAACATCATGCAACAGGTAAAATTCTACTTTTTATATGGTATTATGGCATAAAAGCAAAAATAATCAAATAATGATCAAAATAATGTCACACATCTTACGCAATAAATTAATTCATTAGTTCAACAACGTCTAGATTGCACTGCTAATAAGTGAGAATTTAGTATGACCACCAGTTGAAAGATTATTTTGATTCATTACAACTGAATGATTTGCATTTAATGCAGAAAAAAAAAAATCTAATCTCATCGAATTGGTCCATAGAAAATTAGAAAGATTTGTCCATTAGGAACATATCAGCTAGAAAATGTCAAAGGACAAGTGATATATTAATTCTATATTGACACGACAACAATATAAATCGTCTCTTCCAAGTCATAAACACAAACTTATTTAAAGAATGTGAAAGTGTTAATTACTGAAGATGCCTTGTTATTAATAATTTAGTTTTTGTTTTGCGTTTTTTTTTTTCGAAATAAAGCGAAACATTAGTTAAAATTAACACATGTAATAGTTTCACATAAAAAGATACAAAAATATGTATAAACACCTCGGCACATATAATAAATGCAAGAACACACAGTTTTGAGATGTCTGGTCATGTCTTGAGTGTAAAATGTTCAGAAATGAAAAACATGACATTTATATTAGAAATGTTATAAGAAAACATATGGTAAATTTTCTTACAAACTCAATTATTTATATTACAATGGTGTTATTTGATTCAAAATAGAATTATAAATTCATATAAGAGCTGATTATCATCAACATTATTAAAAAAACATATACTAGGTTCTTTTCTAATTAAATTCAAGGTCTCGAAACATAACTGTGAATTGTGAATTCCCAAGAATCTAACACTTTTTTTTTTTGACGTCTCATTCCTAGAAATTCAAAACGCGTAGAAAACGTAGTTTGAAATATATTCTCGTGCCTTGATAATAAAATGTTTACGAACGTAAAGTCTGACAAGTTTAGTAAACATATTTTATTAGTTATATATTTATATTCAAGGATATCAATTGAGACAAATAATTTGTAGATAAATAAAAGAACAATTAATCAATTGATATGTCAACAATAATGTTTTGTTGAGATTACATTTGAATTTGTTCTTATTAAAAATGTTTGTTTTGTGACAAGAGATATTTATTCCGAGAACTTGATTTATCTATCGGAAGATGTATGGTGGAAAAAAAATTAATTGAATTGATACTTTTGCGTTTAGAACAAAAATAATCATTGTCCCAATGTAATAATCTTGCTATAAGATATTACTGTGAGTCTTAAATAATTCTTACACGTCCTAATTTCGATGCTTCTTTTTTTTAATATTGAAAATATATCTATATAGTGGTGCTGATCAGCTAAAAAAGATCATTTACAAATGATTAAAGAATTTGATTCAATAGAATTAAGTTTTCTTTCGTTTAAATTATTTTGTTTTTTTGTAATTTTTATAAATAAATATATATATTTCTAGTAAAGATACAAGACTTTCTAAAGAAAACAAGACATGATAGAAGCCGAAAATAGAATACAATCAGGTATGCAACATTGTGGCAAATCCTGGAAGAATCATGCAACACTCTTGCAAGATCTTATTATAGAATTATTTGACTTGAGATGTTGTAACAAATTTATTCTTTAATAAAATATATAGGATAATTTATATTATTTATTGATGACATTTATGATTCAAGAGGTACATTGGATGATGAATAAAGTGACATGAGAGAAAAAATAATTAGTTTAAGAATTGAAAAGAATGTTACATATTGGAATTAAATAATATTTTTGTCTGATAAATAAAGATTTTGATTATGAAAAGTACTGCTGATCATTGACCTATTCACTAAAATATTTCATGTATTATTAAATTATTATGAGCAAGACAATATATGATTGACAATTGATATCCTTGAGTGTCATATAATTAATTAGATTACTTTGAACTATTCGAAAAAATTGATTGAACGAACATTTCTATAAAGTGTACACTAGAAAAAAGAAACCATTTAAACGATTATTTAACTTTTGATATAACGAGTAAAGAGTCAGATCGAAAAAATTAGCAATTGAACCGTAGGATATTCGTACTTTTTATCATTATTCTTGAGCCTCGTTCTTTCTCTGATTATTAAAATAAGAAGTTTACTTAATGATTTTTTATAAACATCTCATATAATTTGATCCTATCTACATTAAAATTGAAGTTGAAATTCTTTATCACACGAATGAAGGGCGTATGTTGACGCCCTCTATTATTTGAAATAAACTATTTTTACATGTATATCTTCATCATTAACATAACTATAATTCATTTTCGTTTAGAAAATTTCATTTAATTTGATTTCCGTATCAGAGTTGGTTACTAAGCAATCGATCGACCATATTAAATTATGAGTTGATTATCAACAAGAAGAAAAAGAATAGTTGTCGTCGTCGATCGACACTGTGTTTCCAAGTGACTGGCGTACCTATGGCGACCTTGCTTGCCACAAACTCGCCTTTTTTACCATCATTCATTTATTCTCTCATATTGTCTTTTGAGATATGTTCAAAAATACGTTTCAAAGTGGCTTTCTTTCGATACTCTATAGTATTGGCAGTAAACCGTTACAAATCTGGGATAAAAAAGTTTGTTTAACGTTTATATGGAAATATCGAATCAGATTTTTTTTTTTTTTGTCTTTTAAGGTACGTAATGGACATATCAAACGAATAACAGATAATGAAATTCAATCACTTGTGTTAGAAATCGTTGGTACAAATGTTAGTACAACATATGTAACATGTCCAGCTGATCCTAAAAAAACACTTGGAATTAAATTACCATTTCTTGTTATGATAATTAAAAATTTAAAAAAATATTTTACATTCGAAGTACAAGTAAGAATAAAATTTTGTCTTTCTTTAGTATAGAAAATATTTTATTTCAATCTTTTTCTTCTAAATAAGGTACTTGATGATCGAAATGTTCGTCGTCGTTTTCGTGCTAGTAATTATCAATCAACAACACGTGTAAAACCATTTATTTGTACAATGCCTATGCGTTTGGATGATGGATGGAATCAAATTCAATTTAATTTATCTGATTTTACACGACGTGCTTATGGTACTAATTATATTGAAACACTCAGAGTTCAAGTATGTTGATTTATTTAAAAAAAAAGAAATCTTTTCTCTAAAAAACAAAAAAAAATATTTATCCATAGATTCATGCTAATTGTCGAATTCGACGTGTTTACTTTTCTGATCGACTCTATTCGGAAGATGAATTACCACCGGAATTTAAATTATATTTACCGGTAAAAATATTCAATTCAATTTATGTATTGTTTTTTTTTTCTAATTTTATTTTTAATTTAGGTTCAAAAGAAATGATTGAATTCATCATATACGTTTCTTTTTTTCGTTCTATTTTCTACTTTTTTTTTGCCAAAAAAGACAATAACAATAAATAAACATCATAACTATATGCCACCAATAGCTGTGTATATTTGTGATTTTTTTTAAAAATATGAATGTCAATTTGTTTTTGTTTTCTTACGCTCGTATTACATTTATTATCCTTCAAGTACGAATGAATATATATATAGTTTATGTTTTATTGACAATAGTGCTTTAAATGACATATAATATAAAATCGAAATGAAAGTTAGATTAAAAAGATTGTCAGCAATTGAATTTTACCTTTTAATTTCAAGAGCTTTTTTTTCATTATCTAAGATTATGTAAAATATCATATTTAAAGCTGAATTTCTTTAGACAATTAGAAGTATTGAATTATTCGAAATGAAACGTTCGATAAACAGTTCGTAAATGGATTTTAACGAAGGATTATTCAGTAACTACGACAGAATCATGTTTGTATAGCTTGACAACTATCAAAATAACATTAACACATTAAAATTTCTTCGCATCTATATTTACAATTCGTGACATGATTGTATTTCAGAAGAAAAGAACACTAGGTTGATTATTGAAAAAAACATATAGAACTGTGAGAAAGTTAATTGTCAAAAGTTTATTAAGATAATTATTGTAACTTATTCCATAACTTCTTAACAATTGAGAAGTTAGTCATAGTAAGATACAGGAAATGCAGAATTCGAATTAAATTTATTTTTAAGCTTATTGATATTTTATTTGATAAAGCTGGACCTGGACTCTGGTCAAGAAAAAATTTGGTCTTGGAACTACCTTGCCCATATCTGTCTACTACGAATATAAAAATTATATTCACTATATATAACCCTAGGACATGTGTTTGCAAGCATTTTTGTAAACTTATTTAATTTTTTGTGAAAAAATATAAGATCAAATATTTCATCTTCTTAGAATCATCAGGTTCTGAGCTACATATTTATATCTGTGCTTTGTGGTTTTTATTATCATAGATAGATTGAAAATAAATATAAATAATAAAGTCAAAACTAATATAAAAAACTATATCGGAAGAGAAACATGTTAGCAGAATCTGTTTGCAATGCAAAATTACGTCCTGAAGAACAAGAGCAAAGTTTCGAGAAAAAAACAAATATCAAGGAGAAATAAAGGCACATTTCCTATGAAGAACAGATTTCACTAAAATGTATGTTATTTGATGTAGGTTTTCATGCTGATTTAGAATTTATTATCTGTACTTCTTTTCAATTTACCCATAGTAAAATAAAATTAAACAATAATAAGTTGATGCTTTGTAGCTTAAAATCTGATGATTCTAATGATATGAGAAATTTAATATTTTCTTCACAAGAAAGCTATCTATTGTAGATATAATTTTCAAAAATCTAACTGATAAATACTTTTCTACTCTGTTTTTCATGCTGAATACAATGAAATATTTTCAAAGAGTTTCGCAAATCTCCTCAGATATTTGATGTTATTAGTGTTTGAAGCATTTTTTTTTCTTAGCAATAGAATAATCTAATCGAAATAAAATGTATATACCTATTCGTAACCAAGTCGTCAACCTCAATCAAAGTCAATATCAATAAATTTCAAAATAAAAATCACTCGAATTTGCGTTCTTCGTATCTTACTTCAATCAAAAATAAAACAATATACTTGTTTTCTTTTGTGTAAGTCTTCAGAATTCAAAATATTTTTACAATTTTCAAACAAAACGACGATATATGTTTCTAAGAGAAGTGTACATAGCGATGAGCAGGACTCCTATACTTCCTCTTGGAGAGTCATCGATGTTTTCAATTCACTAATACTTCGTCTATTTGGCACGTTTATATATTTAGCGACTGTGTTGTTTAAGAAAAAAAGGAACTAATTTTACTATAGAAATTGTAACAGTAAATATTGAAGCGATTGTTAATGAATAATTTTCACATAAACTTTTAGAACATATGAATTATTAGAATATAACATTTGAAGCAAGTCTTACACAACCATAAAAGCTATTAATCTCAATGAAAGAAGTGTTCGAGACTATCTTCCTCATATCTGAGTGTTCACCAGAATCTTGATGGTATCAAGTGCATAATTCACCTCTTGGTTTGTACAATATGATAGTGCATATACTGTTTGACTACTAGTACTAGTCTGAAATACGGACTGGGCTGGTTCGTAACCGATACTACGTAGTTCCATCTCTGATATAGATGTTACTAAACGATGAGTATTGTCCATCCAGAATTCTGAGATCTAAGAAATATTCTTTTCTGTAGAGTAAAATATTTCCATTTTTATAATCGAAACTACTGTTAAGATTGAGATAATATTTTCTTTTTTAATAACTGCATAGCACTATGAGAAGTGTTCGAACGAAAATTAGTCTAGAAGTTTTACAAAAACAAGAAGAACTTTTTTCTAACGAAATCCTCATCAATACTAGTATATTGAATAACAAAAAAGAATTAAGACGAGAACATATCTCTCAGATGTACAGAAACTATTGGACACTACTATTTCTTTTAAGTATTAAGCCCTTCCCCAACCCCCCCCGCCCCCCCCCGCCCCACCCCCCCCCCCCCCCCCCCCCACCCCCCCCATCGCACCACGCACCCTCACCTGGCTGCGTG